ATTTATTGGAGAAGGTAGGCACTGCTGTCACCCATATTTCTCAAAGGGGGACTGAGGTTCAGAGAAGATAAGTACCTTCTCAGGGTCACACATATAGCCAGGAAGGAGCCTGTGTCCAGTCAATAAGCCTGCTCCAGATTGTATCTTTAAAGATAGGAGTAAGCCCAGCTGGCTTTTTATTTTTGGGGGGGTCCAGTCGTGGGGCCTGAACTCAGGGCCTGGGCGCTGTCCCTCAGCTCTTCAGCTCAAGGCTAGCGCTCTACCACTTGAGCCACAGTGCCACTTCCGGCTTTTGCTTTTTGTTTATGTGGTGCTGAGGAATGGAATCCAGGGCCTCAGGCATGCAAGGCAAGCGCTCTACCACTGAGCCACCTTCCCAGCCCCCAGCTGGCTTTTAAGAAGGTGTAGTTGCCTGACACTGGTGGCTCACTCCTGTAATCCTAGCTAGTCAGGAGGCTGAGATCTGAGGATTGTGGTTTGAAACCAGCCCAGGCAGAAATGTCTGTGAGAGTCTTACATCAGAAAACCAGAAGTGGTGTTGTGGCTCACAATGGTAGGGTGTTAGCCTTGAGTGAAAAAGCTCAGGCCCTAAGTTCAAGCCCCACAACTGACAAAAAAATCTGTAGTTTCCAGAGGGTCAGTTAAATGCGCTATTCACAGGCCTTGAGCCAGGTTTTCCTACGTTGGAGTTTTTCTTTGATGTCAGTTGAAGAAGGACTTCCCAGATAGCAGTGGGTAACACAGATGTGTGGACTCTTTGCTGGAACTTCCAAAGCTAAGTAGGATATGGTTCTTTAGATATGATCATGTGGTAGAAAGACACAGGGAATAGAGAGCTGTCTTGGGCCAGTGAAGGCCAAATGCTATGCATTGGAAGGAATCAGAGAGGAGGAGGTGGTATTTGAGATGAATTTGGAAGATAGAGAAGGGAATCTTAAGAGGCAGGCTCAGTGAAATGCAGAAGGTGTTGGATTCTTGCAATGGTGAGCTGGACAGGAGAGGAACAGAAGCTTCTGGATGAGAGGGAAGGACAGGTGGGCAGCCTATGGAAATCCATAGCCAGGAGGGGAGCAGTAGCTTATAGCTGGGTATGGAGCCACCCAGGGTGAAGAGAGAGCTCTGGGTGGGTGGTTGGTGCCTTGGCTGCAGGTCATTGCTTTTGGGAAAATGGTCCTTGTAATTGGTATGTCTTCTCCATGGCTCAAGGTGGAAGGGCAGCAGGGAGTGGAGGCTAGCAGTCGTCAGGCCACTATCTCCCTGATGAAGGTAGGGAGGGTCAGGCCCTGGTGCTTTGGTTCCTTGGGGGTGACGATATGCCTACAGGTTGCATTTCATTCTCTTGTCCTCCATCCCTCCCCCTCTTTGGAGTCAGTCAGACAAATGGAACCTTCAGTATTTCCTTTTTTTTTTTTTTGTTAGTTGTGGGGCTTGAACTCTGAGCCTGGGCACTATCCCTGAGCTCTTCAGCTCAAGGTGAGCGCTCTACCACTTGAGCCACAGAACCACTAACAGTTTTCTGGTGGTTACTTGGAGATAAGAGTCTCATGGACTTTCCTGCCCGGGCTGGCTTTGAACCATGATCCTCAGATCTGAGCCTCCTGAGTAGCTAGCATTATAGGTATGAGCCACTGGTGCCGGCTCAGTTCTTCCTTTTATCAGCTGTGAAATTTGCTCACATGACTTTGACTCCCAGTTCTGACATGTGTGAAATGGGGAGAAGGATTATATCTTCCTCATCAGGAATTGTGAGGAGTAAAATCAGTTAATATTTGGCACATGGTAAATATTGATAAATCATAGCAGCTACCACAAATCATTATTATTTCTTGGATCACCACTCCCTCCCCATGGCCTAAGGCTCCCACCCTCCCTCTAGCTCTCCTACTCTTAGCTCTGAAGGGACTTCCACACTGAGGCTCCCTCGGCCCAGCCGTACCCCACCACAGTTGAGCACAGGCCCCAGCCTGCACAGTAAGGCCACAGTCTCACCCTTGCTGAGCTAGCTTGGGTGGTTGAGGCCTGCCATCTGGTAGTCCAGTAGGGAGCCAAGAATATGTGTGTGGCTGGGCAGTGTCAGACCCAGGTGCCCAATCCTCCTGTCGGTTAGGAAAAGATAGGAAAGCCAAGATGCTTCAAAGTTTGTCTCCATGTTTGTAAAGCCAGAGGCCTACTTTTCCCTGCCCTGCCTCCTCACACCCACTCACCCTCGAGTCCTCTTTTGCAGCCTGCCTACATTCCAGGCAAAGCCCCTGGAAGATGCTTGCTTTCGGGGCTGGCAGCTTTCACCTCTGAATCAGGACCTGTAAGTGTTACTTACAATTGTGTAGGAGTTGAGAGGCCTCTGTTAGGCAGAGATGATAATTGTTCTATTTAAAGATGGACCTGGAGTCAGAAGAAGCCAGGTGTCCCCATGTGGCTGCGCTAGAGTTTCCTTCTGCTCCCTGGCTTGTGCAGTGTGTGTGTGTGTGTGTGTGTGTGTGTGTGTGTGTTGGGGGGGTGGAGTGTGTACATTGGGTCTTGTAGCTACCTCTGGGGTGTATACTTGAGACTCACACATTCCCACACATTCTATGTGCCTCTAGAGGCTCTCTAGTACCTGGTTTGTAGGAGGCCAGGGAAGAACAGCTCCTCGGTTGCCAAAGGCTAAGCTGGACCAAATAGAACAGTCTGCTCTCTCTTCCTGAATTCTTTGTCTTCCACAGTTGAGGACTGAACTCAGGGCCTTGTACTTGCTAGGCAAGTGCTCATCACTGAGCTAAATCCCCAACCTCTTCTGAGAAGTTTTCCAGCACCTCTCCTGTAAGCTTTTTAAACTCTATTTGATAGCCAGGTGCCAGTGGCTCACGATTATAGTCCTAGCTACTCAGCAGGCTGTGAGATCTGTGGATCACAGTTCAAAGCCAGCCTGGCAGTAAAGGCTGTGAGACTCTTTTGTCACCAATTAACCACCAAAGAACTGGAAGTAGAGCTGTGGCTCAAGTGGTAGAACACCATCCTTGAGTGAAAAACTAAATGACAGTGCCTAAAGCCCCAGTACTGGCACAAAACAGCAGCAGCAGCAACAACAACAACAACAATAAACCCTCCATCCATGCTGGGTGTGGTGGCACACACCGGTCATCCCAGCATTCAGGGGGACTACAAGTTCAAGATCAATCTGACCTCTACCTATCCAGAACTTGTCTCAAACATACAAACCACCCCACCTCCCCCCCAAACAACAACACAAAAAGCAAAAACTAAAAACAGATCCACCCACAGGCCTGCCTTTATCCAACACTCACTTCTCTGGCCTCCTGTCACTATAGGGCGCCTTCTACTCCGCAGAGCTCTGCTCACCCATGGTCTCATCCCGTTAAGAGCTGTAGTTCAACCTTAGAGGTTGTCAGCCAGATGATCTCTGGTAGAAGTGTAGCCCCAATCTAAGGCCCAGCTCTGGATTTCTTCCTATGATGGCACTGGGGATCTTCAGGGCTCAGGCCATCCCCGGGGCACCTGAGGTCCTGAGCTCACTGTTCTTCCTGCTCCTCCTTCTAGCCCTCCCTTCTTTGTTTCCTTCTTTCATTCCTCTGATTCCTCCTGGACTGTTTATGGGGTACAGGGACCCCAAGCATTCAGCCTTGCAGTGTAGAGCACTCAGTGAAGGGCCTGGACCCAGTGAGTAGGAGATCAGAGGAACTGCAAGAGGGAGATGGGGAGAGGAGGCTGTGACCCTCCTCCTCCCCTCCCTGCTGCTCTATGGGTTGGGGAGGGAAGTGTGGGCTGCCAGGCCAGAGTTCTATGTGCCGCCTTGGGGCCCTCTGGGGACCCTACCCTCCATGGTGGGAAGCTTGTGTCCAGTTTTGGTGTCTGTTTCTTGAAGGGTGGGGAGGAAGGAGAGCACCATTTATGGAGGTCTCCAGTGTACTCAGCACTGGGCTGGGACGCCATGTCCCTTTAGCACTCTTGTCCAATGGGAAGACATTGAGAGCTGATGAAGGTACTGACCCTTTTGTGGGCAAGAGGCTGGCAGCCATGGTTGGCAGAGAAGCTACCAGCTATATTATGCTTCCACATTTTGTCTTTCTTTGCCCTGACCACTGGGCTGCGCAGTGTCAGGCTCTGAGAATCACTGGAGCCATGTTACGCATACTGACATCCCTAGCTGTTGACTCCTGGTGGTGCCAGCAGTGATAACAAAGGAATAGCTTCCTAGGCTGGAGGAGGTGGCTAAAGGCCTACTTGGAGTAGCCATCCTCCATCCCCACGTGGACCCGGGGTTCATTTCAGTCATTTAGTCACTTATCCAACACAGAGGTGGTAGCTATAAATCTAGAGTCAAAGACTGCTGTCTGCCAGGCTTGTGTGCCACCCTTGGCAGGTTTCAGAAGTAGGGAATGACATGAGCCAGAGCTGCCCCCTTGAATTATGGACATTGTAGTAGGTCAGGACTCTTGGCCTAACCTGTGCCTAACCTGTGCCTCTCCAAGGCCTCAGCCATGTGTCCTCTGAGTGATGGCAAGCCCCACCATGCCTCTTTCCTATGACCCCAGAAGTCCAGTCTCTGTGGGATCCCTGCCCTCGAAACCCTTTAACGCCATCCACACTTGCGTTGGCCCAAGTGTATGGAAGAACTCTGAAGGGGCTGCAGGGCAGAGACCCACTTCCTCTCCTGCCACCCTTAGGTCTCAGGAGGGCTCTGGGCAGCCTGCTGGCTGCTCCCCTACCACTGACTGAATCATTTCTATATTTGGCCAGTGAGCCACGTGGGTGGGAAACCTCTGCGGCTGCACTGCTGACAGCTGCAGGGGGTGGGGCAGGGGCTGCAGGCAGCAGAGGCTGGGCAGCAGGCATGTGCATTCCTTGGGGGAAGTAAGGAGGTGCCACTGGAGTGAGTGAGCCTGGAGAAGGGGCTTGTGCCAACAGCTCCTCCCTTCTTTCCCCTTGGTTCCAGGCCTGCCCCCGTCCCCTGGATGCCCTTCTCCCCTTCCTTAGCAGGTCCTCACAGAATGCTCTTCTCCCGCAGACCACACAGCCTTCCAGAAACCATGGGTGTCGCTAGACCCAGCTGGGACTCTGCCAGGCTCCGGTGCTCAGTCTAAGACAAAGGCCGCCTCTCAGCCCTGCTCTTCCTGCCTGTCATGGCCACACTTGGATGCTGCCTGCTTGTCTGGGGACACAGGGCACTAAGCCCCAGCCCTAAGAGGTTAAGCCGGGCCTTCTGGCTCCATTCCACAGGGGCACTGCAGACCCCAGACTCCTTTCAGAGCAAGAGCAACTGATGCCATGGCAGAAACCCCTGCCCACCTGTCTTCTTGCCTGGCACTGCCCACTCCGAGACCTGTGCCCTTCTGGGTCCTCCTGCGGGTACCAACCCTGTGAGTCCCTCCCCATCCCCTGACGTGGAGAAGGTCCTGTCCACCCCTACCATGTGTGAGGTGATGCCCACAATCAATGAGGGGGACCCTTTGGGGCCCCCCCATGGCGCCGATGCTGACGCCAACTTTGAGCAGCTGATGGTGAACATGCTGGATGAGCGGGAGAAGTTGCTGGAATCCCTTCGAGAGAGTCAGGAAACCTTGGCAGCCACGCAGAGCCGGCTCCAGGATGCCCTGCATGAGCGGGACCAGCTCCAGCGCCACCTTAACTCTGCCCTCCCTCAGGTAAGGGTTAGGCTCTGCACCTCTCAGCCCCTCTCTCTTCCCTGGGTCCCTTTGATTCCAGCAGAATTGGACTGCAACCTTTGGCATCTTTTCACACATCAAACATGGAATACACGGAGAATTTGCTTGTCATCTTCCCTTTTCCTGTCACTTCAAAGCTTTTCTGCCCAGAATGGCCTCACCAGGAGAAATGAATGGAATTTGATGCCGGAAGTTAAGGCAGCCATAGTTGTCAGCTGCTTTGAGCCCAGCTTACCAGTAGGTGGCACCCTAGACTGGAAGGAAGCCTCTTGCTCTGCTTGCTCCTCACCCGAGCTCTATTCTGGGAGGTGGCAGGTAGGGAAATCACAGAAAGTGGAGGTGGGAGAAGCCTTAAGATCACCTAGTCCAGCTCCCTACTGCAGAGATGAAAAATCCAAGAGACGAAACACAGACAATGACAGGCAGAGCCTGTCTAAGAAGCCAGCTATTCTGACAGCCCACCTCACGCTTCTCGGAGGCACAGCCCAGCGCTGCAGTGCAGTCACCCTTTGCTGTGTCTTCCTGCGGACTGAGCTAGCTAATCCCTGCAGCCGAAGGTTCGTTCATCATCACTGCCATCCTGTCTTGTAAGGCTGAGATGGAAACTTGGAGCGATGGATCAGTTACTCGTGACCTGGAAGTTAGAGGGGCAGCTGCATCTGGGGCACGCATGCATCTTCAGAGGTGATGTGCTCCCTTCTCCCATCCTCTGTATTTCTCTCCACGTGGGCTCTGGAGCTCAGTGCCGCTTACTACTCCCCACTCAGTTGGTCATTAGATATTCCAGGCAAAAGAACTCTGAGGATAGGAAGGGGAGCAGGAACCTACTTTAGTTATCCTTCTGCTTGTGAACTCTGCCTGGTAACCAAGCCTGAGAGGGGGGTTGGCAACTGTCTGTGAGCATGGTTCTCAGGGATGGAGTGAATATCCTGCATTCTCTACTTCCTCTTAAGATAGAGATGGGTGTTGAAACCAGATTTGGAATGTATTATATAGCCCACCCTGAGCCTAAAAAGGTGCTTTCTTGGCCAGGGGAGGCAGCCCTGAGGAATCATAGCTCAAGCCTCAGGGCCAGGCTCTTTCCCCAAATGTAGGGAGATGAACCAGGCCTGGCTAGGGTGGGTCAGTTTTCTTCCCAGAGTTCAGATGTGCTGTTTTATTAACAAGAATATGGAGTCTGGTTGAGAGATGGTGTGGGCAGGTGGGCTATTCCTTCCTCATCATGTCTGAGACCCTGAATATGCCCTGTAGTAAATGAGCTGGTGTTGGCCCTGAGAGACCAGAAAGAAGGCACAGGAGAATCCAAATGAGTAGGAGAGAATGTAGAGGAAGATAAGGAGTCCCAGAAGGGTGGTTAGGTATGGCATCAGTGATTAAAAATAGCTGCCTCTGGTGGTGCTTTCTGTACATCAGGCTAATTTAGCAATTCCCAGAGAGAATTGCTTACCTCTGTCTTCTGGATCAGAGAATGAAATTAGTTGAGAAAGGCTAAGGAATTTGTCCAAGGTCACATGACTAATAGGAAGAGCTAAGATTTGATTCCATGCCTTGTGGATTGCTCTGCATGGCTTTCTGAGGAGGGAGGAAGGCTTGTACCCCATTGAGGATTCTGGAAAGGTCCTGGAGAGGCTATATCCAACTTCGGCAGGGCTCTGTGGGAGTTGAGGGGGAGAGTCCACTGGGAGAAGGAAGGTGTGGCATTTGGAACTCTTGCTGGTGTTTGGAAACTGTACCAGACACACAGCTGGACTAGCTAGGACTTAGGTGATGGGAGAGGAGCCAGAAGAAAAGTTTGAGAAGTTTGTACAGGCTGAGAAGTTAGTACATAACTTTGTAGATGTGTTTTTGGGACAATATTCTGGTAGCTGTCCACCAGATGAGTAAGGGAGAGAGAGGACAGGCTGTCCAAGACCAGGTAGCCACTCAACTTGAGACCAGAGGTGTAGAGAGCATCATGGCCCTTTAGTGGCAGTGTCTATGGTATAGGGTAGGGACAGGCCACTGAGTCCTGTCTCTGGGTATAAGCATATGTGTGTGTGTGTATGTGTGTATAAAGGTGTATGTGTGCATAAATATGACTCTGTGTGTGCATGAATGTTAGCTGAGGGATGAAGCAGCACCAAGCCCAGGCCTCAGTTTCCATGTGTGAGCTGGGTGATCTTGACTTCCTTGACCACAGCCTTGATGGAAAGGGACAATCAAGGAAAAGGATCAGAGGTCTCCATGCTGTAGCTTCTCTCATTCCCTGTCCCTTCTTAAAGCTCATCCAGCCTCTTTTGTCTGGGCTGGAGTTCTAAGAGGGGACAGCTTTGGGACTTCTTCCTTTGGTTATGGATTCTTGGTGTGCAAGCGGGGAGGGGCTGCAGTGTAGGGCAAGGCAGCAACCTCTTCCCAATCACTTGAAAACCTTTCTGATACCCTATGTCTGGTCAGTAGATAGGCTGTGATGGGCCTGGATCTGTGGGGTCAGGCTCTGTACCCTAGATGCTTGTCCTAATGGAAGATGATAAGCAGGAAGGGTCTTTGGCAATGTAGAATTGTGCTCACCAGAAAGGGATACTGAGTCACTGATACTCAGTGAAGCTGGGGCAAGTATTTTAGCATCAGGCCCTGGGCTGTAGCTGTGGTGAGTGGGGCTCCCAGGTAGCTAGGGCTGAAGCCATGTAGCAGTTGACTGGTCAGGGCTGCCTGTGGCCTTGCTCTCCCCTGTAGTTCTTCTATCTTCTTGTCTCACTGGCCACCTGCAGTTGGCTATACTCTGGGTAGGGTGTGGAAGAGAACTTCCTGGGAGTCACTAGATAGAAGAGTCTCAATGTGCTGCTCTCCCCCCATGTCTGTCAGATTGGTGTGGCTCTCACTCCACCAAACCAGCTATGGTACAACCCTCCACGAGTTTCTGCAGATGCCCTGAGTGGCTGGAGAAACGGAAAAACTGAGCGGGAGGGAGGGTGGGATCTGCTCACATTGGTGGCCAAAGGAGGAAGTGGCTGCCAAGCAGACTCTTAACTTTCTCGTTCTTGTGTGGGGCTCTGTTCCCTTGGATCCCAACACACCCTTGAGCTTCACAGAGGCCTCAGACCTGGGCACTGTTGGGGAAGCTCACACTAGCTACAGGAGGATTGGTTGGGCTCCACTGTATTGCAGGCAGAAGTGAAAGATGGGAGACAGTAGCTCACTATGGACTTGGGTGTGCAGGATACTACTTTAATCCTCAAGTACTGAGGCCTTGGGGGTTTTCAGGAATTTGCTACCTTAACCCGGGAGCTGAGCATGTGTCGGGAACAGCTTCTAGAGCGGGAGGAAGAGATTTCGGAGCTGAAAGCAGAACGGAATAACACAAGGGTAAGTGGGGGGTGATTGTGTACATGTGTACATGATGTGTACATGTGTGCATGTGTTCATGCATGTGAGCATGTGTCCACCTTGACCAACAGGCAAGACCAGAGGCAGCTGCAGCCCCAGCTCCATCCTGACCTCGTCCTGCCTTGCATCATCCCGTCATATGACTTAGCCACCAGTGCTGGGCTTTTCTGAAGCTTCTGGGTCATGGAAGGGTTGGGGATCCTAGGGGAGAGGCTGGAGTAGATGTGTTGGAGGTGGATGTTGAATTAAGGAGAAACATGGGAGAATTCCAATATTTTAGCCGTGGTATGGTTGTATTTGTGGCTATTGGGTGATCATGTGGGTCCTGCTAGTATTCTCCTGGGACACAAGCTCACAGCGCTCCCTCTTGCCCTCCCCTGCTTCCTGCCAGTTGCTTCTGGAACATCTGGAGTGCCTGGTATCTCGCCATGAGCGGTCACTGCGGATGACTGTGGTGAAGCGCCAGGCCCAGTCACCTTCGGGGGTCTCTAGTGAGGTGGAGGTGCTAAAGGCCCTCAAGTCGCTGTTTGAGCACCACAAGGCCCTGGATGAGAAGGTACCAGCTGCCCCTGCAGGGCTCCCCAGTGCAGCCAGGTTTCCTGAGCCGCCTGTCCTGCTCAGATCTCTGCATCCAGTGATAAGGGAGGACTCTTCAAGCTTCGGAACCGTCCGTGTTCTGCCGCTGGCCTAGTTTCAAGTTCTAGTTAGCGTCTCTCCTGGGACTTGCCTCTTGGCAGGCCCTTTACTTTTCCTCATACCTGATAGTAGTAGATCAAGCCCAGGCCCTCTAGTCTGAGGTCAACGGAGCCACTTTTCTTCCTTCATCTCCCCTTTCCTTGGGCAGGTGCGAGAGCGGCTCCGGGCAGCACTGGAAAGAGTTACCACCTTGGAGGAGCAACTGGCAGGAGCCCACCAGCAGGTAAGCTGACGACCTGCCCTTGGTCTGCACATACAGCTACTGAGGTCCTGCCGACTGGACCTGACACAATGTATAGGAAGTTCTCTCTGAGTCATTGCCCTCAATGCTGTGCCCTACAGGTGTCTGCCCTGCAGCAGGGCGCAGGGGTTCGGGATGGAGTGGCAGAAGAGGAGGGGACTGTGGAGTTGGGACCAAAACGCTTATGGAAGGTAAGTAAGGGGGATGCTATTTAGGAAGGGCCTCTATTCTTCAAGACAGGAATGGAAGTGGGAGCAAACCAGAGTCCCACAGAGAAATAACTTGAATTAAATTGGGGGATCTCTGCAGTATCCATTCCTCTTTCCTTCTTCCCACACCATAATCTACAAACAACAACAAAACATACGATTTCTGTTTCTGTGCTAGGCATGGTGTATGCTTTTCTACTTGAATTGTAGAAACAGTTTTTCAGGGGGTACACGGCAGAGCAGGGGTGTTCGGCAGCTGTCAGGAGTGTACTAGAAGCTGCACTCTGATGTGGGGGCAGAGCTGGGACCTTCTCTCCCCTGGGGCCAGGCAGGGTATGGGACTCCCTGGGTGCCATGACTGACAGAGGACTTGCTTTCTCTGGAGGATGACACGGGCCGGGTGGAGGAGCTACAGGAGCTCCTGGAGAAGCAAAACTTCGAGTTGAGCCAGGCTCGGGAGAGACTGGTCACTCTGACAGCAGCCGTGACTGAACTGGAAGAGGACCTGGGCATAGCCCGTCGGGACCTTATTAAGTCAGAGGAGATGAGCAACAAGCATCAGCGGGACCTCCGGGAGGTGAGTGAAGGTGCATGCCTGCTGTCAGTCACCTCCTCTTGCTGGGTATGGGTGTTGGCACTCACCAGCTGGAGTGTACAAGTTTGAACACTTACAGGTCCGGTCCAGGGTGGGCAGGGGTGATGGAAGATTGGTCAGGCCAGAATCTGGCAGAGGAGCCTATATCAAGCCCTTTCTGGGTTAGAACCAGCCACATGTGGGTGGGAAGGTACAGACAGGAGGAGGACAGGGAAAGGTTGGTGACCTTTGCTCTCATCCCCTCTACTTCTACCCAGGCTCTGGCCCAGAAGGAAGACATGGAGGAGCGAATTACCACGCTGGAGAAGCGCTATCTGGCTGCTCAGCGTGAGGCCACATCCATCCATGACCTTAATGACAAGTTGGAGAATGAACTGGCCAACAAGGAGTCCCTGCACCGCCAGGTAACTACTCCTGATGGGGTGAGTGCTTCACTTGACACTAGGGCTCCTCAGATGATGCTGGTCCAGAGAGAAGCCCGGCAGCAGGGGTGGAGGACAGGGAAGGGAATCTTGCAGGTTCCTCGGGAAAGGGAAATTCAGGCATCTTGAACAGTCAAGAACCAAGATTGTCCCTGCTATGTCTGACCTGTGACCTACCTCCCCTCCGCTGAGATGGTATGTGGCTAGGGTCCTAGTACACTCTCTTAAATCTTTTCCTCACCCCACCTCGCTAGTGTGAAGAGAAGGCCCGTCACCTACAGGAGCTGTTGGAGGTGGCAGAGCAGAAGCTGCAGCAGACAATGCGCAAGGCAGAGACTCTGCCAGAGGTGGAGGCTGAGCTGGCCCAGAGAATTGCCGCTCTCACCAAGGCAAGTGTGTCGGGGGCCTGGGATCTGCCTCTGTCCCCTGTGTGCTGAGCTCTTATGGAGCCAGGCAAGGTGTGGAGAGATGGGAGGCACTTCAGGCTAGAACCAGAGAACTGCTTCACACTGCCTGATGCTAGACACCACCTTGTTTCTGTTGGAAGAGCAATCCCGCCCTCATCACCCCACAGTTCTGTAAAAAGGAGGGTAAAAGTCCTTTTAGAGATGGATCTACATTGATATGCAGGATATTCATGATCACCTACAACATTATGATTGAAGCTTTTCCTGTGGGGCTGGAATGGAAAGATTAGGGTTTTCATCTCAGGAAAGAGGAAACCCAAGAGGAGATAGGATCAAAGTGTGCATGGCCCTGAAAATGTGCAGAGAGAATTTAGGTCAAGCACATCTTGAAGCATTCTAGATGTAGAGACTGCTCCTAGCCGCTTGAAGATTTCAGCTTTAGGATGAATATAAAAGGGAATATAATCTTACCTGATACGAGTGATGACTTTACAGAATACTCTTTCCTAAGAGGTGTGCAGGCTGAAACAGGAAGCTTCTGGAAGAGCTAGGTAAATGAATGCAAACTTAGAGACACAATACATTCGTCAGATGATTTTAGGAGTCTTTTCAGGTGGTTAGAGGCTTTTTTGGGGGAGTCTTATGTGGGATCACCATTGTTATGCCCAGACCTGAGGAGGAAAGGAAGCCAGGGTTTCACAAGCACCTGGTGCCTGAGCCTCTGCAGAATAGAGACTAGTCAGGTGCTCTGGGGGTGGAACTCACACCTGGCTGTGCCTCAGTCTGCTTCTACCGCTATCCTGTTTTGTGACCTGGGAAAGTCCTTCACTGCTTAGTGGGGCCTTAGTGTCCAAATCTCTTCAATGGCGAAGTTGGTGCTGGTCCCTTCAGTCTCCCAGCCCTTAAGAATGAAAGGCTGAGTTTAAATCACAGCAGAAGCTGTTATGTGTGGGAAGCTAAGCAAAAACTGACAAGAAAGGATGAGCTGAAGTGATTAATATGTTAAGTGAGTCATAGCAGAAGGGTTCTAAGGAAGGGTTTCCTAGTCTGTGGTGTTCTATAGTATCTTGCCAGCAGAAACAATAGGGTCTCCATCTCTGGAGGTATAAGAAGAGGAAGGGAGATGGCGCTGCTACCTGAGCTGGTTCAGTAACAGAGGCTAGTAGCACTGTGGAATGCTCACTGTTCGAAGCATTTGCTGTGGACTATTTCACTTAGTCCTGGTGAGGGACCCGTGGCCATTGGTGGTATCATTATCCACATATTACAGTTGGAACTAAGGTATGTAGAGGTTCAGCGGTTTCCCAAAGTCACAGTGGTGCTGGGAAGGAATCTGGATCTGAACCCAGGCACTCAGTATTGAGTCCATGCGCCAGTACAGTGCTGTCTATGGAGATGCACCATAGTGTTTGAAAGCGCTTTCTTTCTTTCCTTTCTTTCCTTTCCTTCCTTCCTTCCTCTCTTTCTTTCCCTCCCTCCCTCCCTCCCTCCCTTCTTTCTTTCTTTCTTTCTTTCTTTCTCTCTCTCTCTCTCTCTCTCTTTCTTTCCTTCCTTCCTTCCTTCTTTCTTTCTTTCTTTCCTTCTTTCTTTCTTTCTTTCTTTCTTTCTTTCTTTCTTTCTTTCTTTCTTTCTTTCTTTCTTTCTTTCTTTCTTTCTTTCTTTCTTTCTTTCTTTCTTTCTTTCTTTCTTTCTTTTTTGGGTCTGGTTGTGGGGCCTGAACTCTAGGCCTGGGCGCTGTCCCTCTTCAGCTCAAGGCTAGCCCTCTACCACTTGAGCCACAGCGCCACTTCCGGCTTTTTTCTTTTTGCTTATGTGGTGCTGAGGAATCGAACCCAGGCCTCATGCATGCAAGGCAAGCGCTCTACCAGAGCCACCTTCCCAGCCCCTGAAAGCTCTTTCTTTCAAGCAGTTTTTTTCCCCTTCTGAAAGCATGGGGAAAGGATTAATAGTCTTATTGAGCTGTCAGCTCTGGAATTAAAAAAAATTGGTGTCAGTCCTAGCATTTGAACTCCAGGTGTGGGTACTGTCCCTAAGCTTTCGTGTTCAAGGCTAGTACTCTGCCACTTGAGCCACAGCTCCACTTCTGGTTTTTATGGTACTTAATTGGAGATAAGGGTGTCATGGGCTTTCCTGGCCAGGCTGGCTTTGAATTGCAACCCTCATATCTCAGCCTCCTGAGTAGCTAGGATTATAGTTGTGACCACCATGTGCCCAGCAGCTTTGGATTTTTTTTTTTCTGGTCCTGGGGTTTGAATTCTGGGCCTGGATGCTGTCCCTGGACTCGTTTTTTTTTCTCAAGGCTAGTGCTCTACCACTTGAAGCACAGCTCCATTTCTGGCTTTTTCTGTGATTAATTGGAGATGAGAGTCTCATGGAGTTTCCTGACCCAGTTGGCTTCAAACCATGATCCTCAGATCTCAGCCTCCTGAGTAGCTAGGCATGAGCCACCATTGACCTGCTGCTCTGAGGTATTTTAAGGCTAACCTTGAGCAGGAAGGAAGCCAGGGTCCCGGCAGGGGTCAGGGGCAGTGGTGATGGTAGTTCTGCTCCCAAGATGATAAGTAGCATAGGGCTAGGTTTTCTTGTTAGTCAAAGCCACTGTGGGATATGGGAGCCTGAGCAGGAGGAATGAAGATCTCAGGGTGCACTGACCCATCCCTGCCCCTAGGCTGAGGAGCGGCACGGCAACATTGAGGAGCACCTGCGGCAGCTGGAAGGGCAGCTAGAGGAGAAGAACCAGGAGCTGGCAAGGGTGAGGGCACTGTGCTAGCTCTCAGGCCACCTCCCTATTCCCAGGGCAGGCTCACAGGTTGGGCTGTGGAGGGTCTCAGAGGAGGAGGGACACAGAGGAAAGGCCTGTCCACAGAGAGAGCCACACAGTGCCAGAAAGAGGTTGGCAGATGGGGGAGGAGGTGGTGGAGAGAGCCTGAGAGCAGAGGTGAAGGGGGCAGCACTGCAGAGGGAATGGGTGGCTCCTGGAGAGAGCAGCACCAGGCCCTTCTGAAGGCCGGCGGCTGTGCAGGTGCGCCAGCGGGAGAAGATGAATGAAGACCACAACAAGCGGCTGTCAGACACTGTGGATCGGTTGCTCAGTGAGTCCAATGAACGCCTGCAGCTCCACCTCAAGGAGCGTATGGCCGCCCTGGAGGAGAAGGTGCGGAGGGCCTGGAGGTTGGGGTGGGGAATGGGTGGGTGGGTGGATGGAGCCTGTCCAAAAGCTAGAGGTTGGACATGAGAGGGAGCATGAGAAGAGGGGCGTGGTCATGGTGAGGCAGACGGGCATGGCGGGGACTTCAGTGAGTGGGTCTGGACAGCAGCTGGGCCTGGTGAGGCAGGCTGAGACCCCAGGCCTGGAGGGTCTGTTCTACCCGGGAGATGAAGGCACAGGCCTGAGCCAAAGCCAGGACCTGGCTCATAGCTGCTCTCCCCCAGAACACGCTGATCCAGGAATTGGAGAGCTCCCAGCGCCAGATTGAGGAGCAGCACCATCACAAGGTACCCAGCTGCTGGCCAGCCCCGTCCAGCCTGGGAGGGCCTGGGTGTCCCAGGAAAGGACACACCCGGATGTCATGCAGCTGCTCTGATACCCAGCTCTGTGTCAGCCTCTCTTAGTCGTTTTTTCATGACAGCCCAACACAGTACAGACGTTGTGTGTATTACTACCCAGAGGTGAAGAATAGAGGTGTAAACACAGGACACAGAGTGGGCAGCAGACTCAGGGCCCGGTGACTGGATCTGTGAGAGGATTTTGGTGGCAGGGAGGATTGACGACTGTCTCTGCCGTAGCAGTACGTGGCAGCGCACCGGCCCCTCTGCTGCCCAACCTCAGTTGCTATGCTTTTGTCTGGTAATGAGGGTCAGTCCATCTCTTTCAGTAGAGTCCATTCCCAGGGTCTCCCTGGCTGGCCTGCTCACTTTCCAGTCATATCCTTCTCTTTGGTGTCATCATGGTCCTGGCCGGGCCCTTACTTCATGCCTTAGGTGTACTCTTCTGCCTCTCCCCAACTCCATTGTCCTCTCTGTCCCTCTCTGATGTCCACTCTTCCCTCTCTGCCCCTCCCTGGCCCCCCCCCCCCACCCTGTGTCTGCCTGGCACAGGGCCGCCTGTCTGAAGAGATTGAGAAGCTGCGCCAAGAGGTGGACCAGCTGAAGGGTCGAGGGGGGCCGTTTGTGGATGGCATCCACTCCAGGTACTGGAGCACGGGAGGCAGGGTTTGCCAGGATGGGGTCCTGGATGGACCTTGAGAAAGGAGGCTTCCCCTCATCTGAAGGCCGCCCAGGATCTTAGGGCCCTCCTCCCATTTGGGGGTGGGATACTGAAGCTTCAAGTACTTGGCCAGTCACGGAACTCAAATGGGCAGTTAGGTAGGGTGTTCTATCCCCTGAGGGACAGTGAGGTAAGTAAGCAGAGGGGGCTCCTTGTCCACATGAGCCATGCTTCTTGTGTCACTGACAGAGCCTACCCTTGAGAGAGGTCGGCCACATCACGTGCTCTCCCTGACCCATGGTCCACTGGCAGGGAGTGCCACTCACTCTAGCTCACTCTGCTCATTGGGAGGTGAGGACCAACCCAAGTTCAAGTAGCTGAAGTGGAAAGTAGATGATGTTGGAAAGGCAGCAGGAAGATTGAAATGAGTCGGTCAAAACTTCCTATGGTCAGAAGATGCCATGATAATCAGTTACATGGTTATGACATCCCATTATCAGACACGGTGAGTGGAGCTTCCATGCACATTTTAGAGAACCTCTAGATTTACCTCCACATTTTGTGAAGCTGTTGGCATTGTGTACAGACCTCATGGTTGCCCTCCATTCTCAGTCCAGAGAGATAGGATCAGAGTCAAGGAGACTGAAGCAGATGGTGCCACTCAAGGTTCCATGGTTTCTGACTGTTTTCTCTAAAAGCTTAGATGGAACCCTTGTGGTTCCCTTTGCTCAGTGTTCTTCCTGTTTCAGGAAAACAGGGTTCAGCCACTGTGAAGAAAGGGTTAGGGAATGTTCATCTGAATGCGTGGAGGCAGTGCTAGAATGAGGGAAAGATGCCGGAGCTTGAAACATCTGGGCAGTGGACACTCAAGTTCTAATCTTCAAGTTCATCAGAAATTATTGTATATAGGGGTCCATAGGAGCAAAGGACAGAGGCATACAATGGTAGTTGAGATTCCTCTTGTCCTTTCTGTAGGTTCATTAGAAGGGACAGACCCTCAGTTAATAAGATTCGGTTGGTCCGGAATTCCCCAAGCCCTTGCTAGTGCTTGCATCTCTTACTGGTTAAGCATTCTGCAGAGTCACTGGACCCATCATGGAATTGGTGTGAGTTGCAGGGAAGAGGAGGGGCCTAGGCAGGATCTCTGCCTCCCTCCAGGTGTCTGATGTAGTTTGTAGGTTTACCTAGCCCCCACTCCTGGTTTCCTTTGAGGGTTCTGGGCTGGGAAGACATAGGAAAGAAGTGTTGCAGGCGTGGTTTCTCCATACTTTAGATTGTTACTGTGACCTTAAGGTCTCAACATTTGGATAGATGCGTAGGAGCCAGCCAAGGTGGTTTATCTGCCTATGTCTGTGGCACTGTGTCAGAGCCTCCTGAAGTTTCCTGGGGCTAGGGAGAGGTTTCTGATTAGAATTTCACAACTACATTCATAACAATCAGTCTCTGAATTAGGGAAAAGGAGAGGGAAGTATATCAACCAGGTTAATATTCTGTGGCTGGGGTGTATGTGGTGGCATGTACCTTTTATCCTGACACCTCAGAAGCCTTAGCTAGGAGGGTTACAAATTTGAGGCCAACCTGGACTATCTCAAACAAGAATGGCATTTTGCTGGGTGTTGGTGGTTTATACCCAGGGTGAATTTTAGACAGGGACTCAGTATAGATTATAAGGAGTCCTGAGATAAGTTACCAGAAGACCAGGACACCAATACCTTCCATGGATCTTCCCTGAAGAGAAGTTTAAAAGACCTTCAAGATCAGTCCAACTGGCCTTTCCTAGTACCTGGAGCCCTTCTCCATTGCACTTGTAGAAGATCAAAGAATCGCAACTTAAAAAAAATGTATCACAAGACCAGAACCTTCTTAAACTAAATGGGATTCTGCTGGTCACTCTCACCCAGCAGCACCAGGGACTAAGTCTAATCTCAGGTTTTCCCGGCAGTCCTTCAAAGGTTTATGGTAGCTTTATGTCCTGTTAAGGCTCCCCTCCAAGTACAAGATCTCTGACTCATTTGGCCCAGGGGGTCTGAGCTGGGGCTCTCAGTCCTCAGGGCCTGTCTTTCTTGCTCCCTGAAGGTCTCATGTGGGCAGTGCGGCAGACCTGCGCTTCTCCCTGAGCACAACCACCCACGCACCCCCAGGCCTGCATCGACTCTACTCGGCACTGAGGGACGAGTCTGCCAAGGTAAGGGTGGAAGTGTGTGTGCGTGCGTGTGTGTCTCCCTCAGGAGTTTGGGGTCAGTTCAGCCGCGTGCCTGGCTCCAGTGGCACAGACGGCTGGCGTGTGGTGCAAATCCTTCTCCTGCCTCCCCCGTGGCAGCAACAGCTGCAGCCTTGGGGCCGGGGCCATCGTCAACTGCAGCAGCTGTGACCCTCGCTTGCCTCAGCCTCCTAGTGCACAAGAGGTGGGGGCTGGGAGGTGGCCAGCCAGCTCCTGAGGCCATGCTGACCTGTGGGCACCTGTGCTTGGGTGTGCGGTGTGTTTCTGGTGGCCACAAAGGGGCTGGGGGAGGGGTAAGATGGGATTGGCTGGCTTCCTAGAACAAAAGTGTGATTTATGGGAGATGAGGGAGGGAATGACATGTTAACTGGCCCTGGGGATGACACCTGGGGTTTCTGAGAAGCAGCTGTGGCTTCTTGCTGAGTTGGCTATGGAGATTAAGGGATAAGAAAAGAAGATGAGGGGCCAACAAGGGCTGACTTCCATCTTTTGGGGAAGCCAGATTCCTGCTTGGTCCCCTAATTGTTAGTCTTATTGGTCTTGAGTCTAGGTCTTCTGGGACACTGTAAGATTTAGATGGAGAAAGAAAGACCTCTTAGTTGGATGGGGGAAGACTCATCTTGGCCTTTAAGTAGCCTTTAGTTTGAGGTCAGGTGTGGCAGTGCATGCCTATAATCTCAGCACTTAGGAGGCTGAGACAGGAAGATCTGTCAGCTCTGGCAAAGTAAGTGAAACCTTATCTCAAAAACAATATTCAAAGGGAAGGGCTGGAGGCATAGCTCAGATGGTAAACCCCAGGCCTGTCATGTGTGAGGTCCTGAGTTTAATCCCTGATAAGAAAAAAAAGTCTGAAGGTACTCCTTTTTTCTCCCTCCCTTCAGTCCTTCACTCATCTGTTTATAAGAATACAACAGTGGGGCTGGGAAGGTGGCTTAGTGGTAGAGCGCTTGCCTTGCATGCATGAGGCCCTGGGTTCGATTCCTCAGCACCACATAAGCAGAAAAAAAAATCCGGAAGTGGCGCTGGGGCTCAAGTGGTAGAGCGCTGCGCTAGCCAGAGTTCAGGCCCATGACCGCCCCCCCCCCCCAAAAAAAAAAAAAAAAAAAGAATACAACAGTAGCATCCAGGGAGCTTAGACTAAAGTCACGAGAGGTAGAAGACATCCCTAAGGAGAAACTTGGGAGCCTGTGTGTTAGAGCCCATCTTTGTCCCTGGACCCCTCTATTCCTTTCCCTGCTCTTCTGCTTTCCTGGCCCAGGCGCATGCTATTCCTTTTCTGAGCCTTTGTCTATTGAAGATGTCATAAGATGATTTCTGAAAAATTGCTACTTCTCAGGGTTAACCAGAAATTCTTGTGATGTACTGAAACTCCAAAGCACACAAGATAGACAGGCTTGCTGGGTCTCCTCTTGTTCCCTGGCTAGTTACCTTGCCTGATGTTTCTTAGGTAGAAATCATGAGCCTTTATAGAGAGCCTGCTGTGTGTTGGGTACTATATATGCCTCATTGAAGCCTTACAACTACCTGTGAGGCATATATTCTTACTGTCCTCCTTGTACAGATAAAATGAGGTACAGAGAGGTTAAGCAACTTTGCCACAGCTATCCAGCTACTATTTAATGTAGCCAAGATCTGAACCCAGATAATCTCTCTGGAATCTGTTTGTAATCAGTCTGCTAGCTCTTTCTTCAAGAAGAATCTCTTAGAATGCAACATTAACAGATCAATATCAGTGGGATTCTGCATTTTTAACATGGTCTCAGAAAAGCAGCCAAAGTCCTGCTCCTCAGCTATCTAGGAGTCTTTTTTTTTGCCAGTCCTGGGGCTTGAACTCAGGGCCTGGGCAGTGTCCCTGAGCTTCTTTTGCTCAAGGTTAGTACTCTACCATTTGAGCCACTGTACCACTTGCAGCTTTTTCTGTGTATGTACTACTGAGGAATCGAACCCAGGGCTTCATGCATGCTAGGCAAGCACTCTATCACTAAGCCATATTCCCAATCCAAAGTTTCTTTTTTTCTTTCTTTCCTTCTTTCTTTCTTTTTTTGGTTGGTCATGGGGCTTGAACTCTGGGCCTCAGTGCTTTCCCTGAGCTCTTCAGCTCAAGGTGAATGCTCTACCACTTGAGCCAAAGCGCCACTTCCCAGGGGTCTTATTATTGCTTTTTTTATCTTCCTCTTTTGCTAAGGACTGGGAGTCATCACCACTGCCTGGGGTGCTGGCCCCCAAAGCCACGCCTGCCTTTGACAGCGACCCTGAGATCTCCGATGTGGATGAGGAGGAACGAGGGGGGTTGGTGGGTGCTGTGGATATTGTCTCCCCCAGTGGCCACTCGGATGCCCAGACCCTGGCCATGATGCTACAGGAGCAACTGGACGCAATCAACGAAGAGATCAGGTTGGGGCTGGGCAGAGGGCTAGGGAGCCTTGAAGGATGGGGCCTGTGTGTGATATATGTATTGGCTTGTCTCTTACAGTCTTAGAGTGCCACAGTCTAGGAGTCCACCTGGAAGGTTCTGGTTCAGTACTGACCCATGAGGGGCAGGGTCAGATTAATTGTCCATTTCCTCCACACTTTTGGATTTCACAAATTAGTTTCAAAGAATGTCCATAGGTAGAGTGTATGTGCACAAATACACACATACACGCATACACACACAGGAGAGTCACACAGTAATATGACAGCCCACCTTTTACTTTGCAAAGTAAACCATGAAAGATAAATACATCATAATCATGCTGCAAAAGAAAGGCCTGTGTGGTGTGTGTGTGTGTGTGTGTGTGTGTGTGTGTGTGTGTGTGTGTGTGTGTGTGTGTGTGTGTCTTTGTATCTGCGGTCCTGGAGCTTGAACTCAGGACCTGGCCACTGTCCCTGAGCTTTTATGCTCAAGGCTAGCACTTTTGCCATTTGAGCCACAGCTTCACTTCCAGCTTCCCTGCACCCCTACTCTGGCTTTCTTGGTCTGGTTGGCTTTGAACTGGTATCCTCATATCTCAGCCTCCTGAGTAGCTAGGATTATAGGAGTAAGCCACCAGCACTAGGCTCAAGGAAGGCCATTTTTAACACTCCCAGAGCTGTCTTGAAGGATGTGTGTTAACATATGTGTGTGTATGTGCACATGCATATACATATACATATTCCTTGCTGAGTGCCCCCTGGGCACACCCATTATTCTTTTTCTTATTTGTTCATGGGCCAGGGGAAATCCCGTTGGGGTCACCATTGGTTAAAAGTGTTTGGGAGCTACTGACTGACCACTACAGATTTGGCATATGGGAAATGAGGCACAGAGCAGAGGACCTGGCTCCAAGATGCCCTGTAGGTAGTGAGGGATAGCTTTAGAATGCTCACTTGGAGGACAGTATGTGTCTCACTGACCAAATGCCTCTACCTGTGAGGCAGGCCAGCCCGGAAGAGAGAAATGTTTCTAAGCCACAAGCCTTGAGCATTCCAACCAGAAACATCACCTTGCCAGGCCTGTGGTCCTAGGGTGGAGAGCGGGCAACGCCCAGAGCTGCCACCTGTGAGTCTACACAGCACTATGCTAGGCCTGGCTTTGCCCTCCTTACAGGATGATCCAGGAAGAGAAGGAGTCCACAGAGCTGCGTGCAGAGGAGATCGAGACACGCGTGACCAGTGGCAGCATGGAGGCGCTAAACCTGACACAGCTGCGCAAGCGCGGTTCCATTCCCACCTCTCTGACCGCCCTGTCCCTGGCCAGTGCATCCCCACCACTCAGCGGCCGCTCCACACCAAAGCTCACCTCCCGCAGTGCCGCCCAGGACCTGGATCGAATGGGGGTCATGACCCTGGTGAGAGTCTTTGTACAGCTGATAAGCACAAAGTTGGGCTTGGCATGTTCCCACAATGTGTGCAGACCCCACATTAGGCCGCTAGCATGCCCTGCAGGGCAGGGGAGGGCCTTCATAGCATCTCCCTTCACCCTCCCTTGGGTACACACAAAATGCTTAAAAAGCTCACCTACTGCCCACACTCTCGTGCCTTCACCCCACTTCTCACACCTCTCCGGTCCTCCTGACTTAACTTCTCCAGGTGAGATTTGATATTCTGTTCTCCCCAGGCCAGTGTGAGGCTGGCTTCTGACTCTCTCACCCTGTCTCCTGGGCTCCTCTTGGGGTAGGTGTTAGGGCAGCCGGGGGGGAGCCCCAGCTCACTCTGTTCTCTCTCTTCCAGCCCAGTGACTTAAGAAAGCATAGGAGGAAGCTGCTGGTGAGTGCTGCCTGATGACCCAGGTACTAACGGGGTACCTCCCAAGCCCCTCCCTTTCCACTCCTCCCCCAAGGTCCTGGGGGCAGAGTCTGAAGTTAAAAGGCAGCAGGGCCTCCCCCACTGCGTTTCTTTGTTTCTCCGCTCCTCTGCCTCATCCTTCTGGGCTGGGTAGGCAGGCCCACCTGGCCCCCTCCATCCCCTGACGGCCCACTGTCTGTTCAGTCGCCAGTGTCTCGGGAAGAGAACCGAGAGGATAAAGCCACCATAAAATGTGAGACTTCTCCTCCTTCCTCACCCAGGACGCTGCGGCTAGAGAAGCTTGGCCACCCAGCCCTGAGCCAGGAAGAAGGCAAGAGGTGTGTGGAATGGGCCTTACCTCTCTTGTCTCTGCCCTGCGCCATCTCATCCTTCCCTCTGCCTCTGGAGAGAGCACTTTGCACCTGTCCTTGGTGCTTGCCTGTTTTGCTTCTTGTTGAAACACCATGTGGAATGGGTATTCCCATGTCCTCCCTACTCTGATCCCACCCTCTTGCCCCACCCCGCTGCTGACAGTTAAGTTCTTCCTGAGCCCTACCTTCTATCTCTCCTGCTATAATTTAAGTATGTTTTTTCTTGTTCCACCGGCTCCTGTCTGCCAATCCTGTAGTGCCTTGGAGGATCAAGGCAGCAACCCCAGCAGCAGCAACAGCAGCCAGGACTCCTTGCACAAAGGCGCCAAGCGCAAGGGCATCAAGTCGTCCATTGGCCGCCTGTTTGGGAAGAAGGAGAAAGGGAGGCTGATCCAGCTGAGTCGGGATGGAGCCACAGGCCATGGTCTCTGCCCCCATTGCAGCAGAGGGCTGGGTGGGCATTGGGAAGTCAGGCAAGAGAGCAGACTTACAGTTGGCCTCCCCCCTGCCTCCAAGGGGCCATGGGCAGAAAGAAGTGCAGCCAGGTAGTTTCACACAGAGGGCAGTTTTGTTAGTGCTATGTTGGGATGGGATTAATGTTCTTGTACGTGGTAGCTCCTGTGCCTAGGAGCATGAGGCAGTAGCTGGTGGCTGTTTATTTGGCAGGGATTTGTGCAGTTGGTCAAAGACTGGACTGCTGGGGGGGGGGGGGAGGGTTTCCTACTCTGGAGGCTCTTCCCACCTCAGAAACCCTCCCACTCTGGACCCCCTTCCACCCACAGAACTCCCACTTTGAAGGCTTTCTGATGTGCTGTACAGGACCTGAGGAGAAACTTCTGCTTTCTTTAGAGGAGTCAGATCTTGGTTAGAACTTAGCTCTGGTACAGCCTGCTTACAGGACAAAGAATATGGAAACATCTAATTATGGCTTTGTTGACATTCATTGAAGGAAGTGCTGAGGCATGGGTAGCACTTGTCACTGCTATCGCCATATAAAGCTCAGATCACGTTTGGCCTGTGGGAGGAACACAATAAATGTTCACTTCCCTCACCCCTTCCTTGTTTCCTTTCTTCCTCTCTCTCCTCCCCTCCTTTTCCTTCCTTCATCTATCCAATCATCTGGCCATTTATTGAATAACTCCTATTCCTCAGAGTATGAGGGGTTGGAACAATAGTTTGTTCAAGGATCTCAGTGTCTAATGAAAAGAGAAAAAAATAAAAAAGATAGTTCCCACACAGTCCAAATGGTAGAGAGAGGTCCAGATACCTCAGGAGCTTGGAACCAGCTGTGGAGTGGTAGGGGCTGGTGGGAAGGGCTCCTCCTTAGGCCATCCTCTGACTCAGAGCTTGAAGACAGCTAGGAAATAGCCATGTCAAAAGGAGGTCTGTGTGTTCAGGGTTTAATCTGGAAAGATGTGTGGGTGAGAGGGCTTTGTTGCCAGCATGTCTGCTCTGAATGGAGGAGGAAGAGGATGGGAGTAAAAGAGGGATGGACAGCTGGTCAGGGCCAGATCCTTAGCTGGTAGAAGAGGGTTAGAAGTCTCCCGAGGCGAGGCAGTGGGAACACTGGTGAATCATACAGGAGAGGATCTGAATCAGCTGGAAGAAAGGAACCTTTGAACTGAGTGCATAATTTGCCCTTCTGCACCTTAATAAGGTGTGAATCATAACACTGCTAGTGGAAGGAGGAGGGGAGGGAGGAGGCCAGTGTCTCTGCTTAGGCATTGGGAGTGTCTTCCTAGGAACGAGCAGAGCGTCTTCCTTCCTAGCCTCACGGGTGAGATGGGCTGTGGAGCCAGCCACAGACGGGGAAGCAGGAAGGTCTGATCAGGGGCAGAGGCATTTTGTGAAAAACCTTATGATCTCCTGTTCCCCACACCTGGTCAGTATATAAATCCAAGACAGTGTCTGGGATTGGTTTCTGGATACCTGTACCTGCTGCCCCTGTGCACGGTGGGAAGTGACCAGGATTTTGGCAAACTCTTAAGATGCTGCCTTTTGCCAAAGGTTCTTTAGAGTTTCAGCACGAGTTCAGGAGATCCTTAATAGAAGATAGAGCAGGGTGTGTTCCTCTGTGAAATCTGGACCAAGAAGCAGAGAAAGAAGCCTGGAGCTAAATAGTGTGCCAACTTCTCCTCCAACCCAGGCAGCACTGTCCCCTGTGAGCCTCATAGACCACACATATCTGTGCTCTTGGTTTGCTTTGTGCCTTGACTAGGAGAAGGGACAGGTTTTGTCTCTGATTCTAGGGAAGGACAGCTTAGGTCCATCTTGCTGGAAAACACCCTCAGGGCTGAAGTTCTTGTGGTACCATCTAGGCTAGGGAGGACCCTCCCAGTGCCATACCAGGATTGCCTGGATGTGGGAAGAGGCTCCAGGAACAACATGGGCCCCATCAGACCAGCTTGGGTCTTCCTTCTTCTACTCTGCACCCAAGGCCTAGGCCCAGGGAGGAGAAGCAGAGGTCTGCTGACATGCCTATCGTTTTCTTCCAGTTCTATTGACAGACTCCGAGCTTAGTCTTCAGGAACCTCTGGTCCCTGCCAAGCTGGGGACCCAAGCAGAAAAGGACCGACGACTAAAGAAGAAGTAAGAGCCACAAACCAAGTGCTGTCAAGGGACCTAGGCCCTACCTCCCTTCCTTCCCCTGAGCTGTCATGGACTGAGCTCAGGGAATCAAAGCTCAGAAAGTCTCTTCCCCAGATGTCCTGGTCCTTGTGGTCACATCAACACTGTCCTGAGTTGTGAGGAAGTTCTTTATTTGTTATGGTTGTGTTAGGGTTTGAACTCAGAGATTTGCACTTACTAGGTAAGTGCTTTGTGCTAGAGCCACATAAATGATTTTTTGCTGTTTTTGAGATAGGGTGTAGCTTTTTACTGGGTGTATCCCCCTGTTTATGCACCCTGCTGTAGTTTGGATGACAGGCATGTACCAGCACACCCAGATTTTCCTATTAAGATAGGGCCTTGTGTACTTTTTGCTTGGGTTAACTTTGATCTGCCTCCCAGGGATTATGAGCATGACCCCCCAGTGCCCAGCTGCAAGAAGGCTCTTAGGATGATCCTAGGAAGAGGGGAGCATGGGGACAGTGGGACAGTGACACGGTACTCATGGGTTTCAGAGCCAATTGAAATGTCTAACTCAGTATTTGTCAGGCCATGTGAAAACAATGTGAAAGCCCTGGGCCTTCTGTAGAGGTGCCTTCTCCCTCCCCCCACCTTCCTAGTGTCACCTTGTATCAAGCAGAGAGAAGAGTCCAAGGAAGGGGAGAAGGGAAATGGGGGTCCCAGCCCAGTTCAGTCATTTGTAGGAGTTGCCTGGGGGAGAGATGGAAGGACTAGTAAGTCTGTTTTCCTCTTACAAGACACCAGCTGCTTGAAGATGCCCGCAGGAAAGGCATGCCCTTTGCCCAGTGGGATGGCCCTACTGTGGTCTCCTGGTTGGAGGTGAGTCTGGGCAAGGGAATCTGCTAGGGGGGTCTGGAGGGAAGACTGTGCGGGGTGGGACACCCTGGTCAGCGGGAAGTGTTTTCTATCACTTTGTCAGCATGTTTCTCCCCTGCCAACTACATGTGTGGCAGCCCAAGCATTTACCCCTCCCCCAATGTACATATAGCACCTAACTTTGTAGGAGAGACGTGATGTTCCATCCTGATGTCTCACGGATGAGAGGACCAATCCCTGTAGTTTACAGACAGAGAGACGTCCTATAGGCTGCCATCAAGTGCCAATCATGCATGTGATACTGAGACAAATTCCTTTACCTTCTCAGGCCTAATTTTAATCTGTAAAATGGGAGAGAGGAGGATTTGATGACAGTCCTCTCCATAGGGCTAAGCTTCTGTGCTTTGCATTTGCTGAGACCACAGATGAGGCCTGGCCTTTGCTCCTCACTTGGTATGGCCAGAGCTCCTGGAAGTGGGATCCAGGCCATGAGCACAGGGGCTGAGTGATCTCCTTCTGCCCCATGTCCACAGCTCTGGGTAGGAATGCCTGCCTGGTACGTGGCAGCCTGCCGGGCCAATGTCAAGAGTGGTGCCATCATGTCTGCCCTGTCAGACACAGAGATCCAGCGAGAGATTGGCATCAGCAATGCCCTGCACCGGCTCAAGCTACGGCTGGCCATCCAGGAGATGGTGTCCCTGACCAGCCCCTCTGCCCCGCCCACCTCCAGGACTGTGAGTGCCCTCCCTTACCCTGGACCCACAAAGTCTTCCTAGAGGGAAGGTGGTGAATGGATCTCTGCTTTTTAACTTCCCATCCCTGTAAAAGGCTTTCCTGGGTCATTAGTAGGATGTGATGTTCATTCTAGGAGCATCCTGCAGTCCCAGCCTCCCACAAGTTTCCACAGGCTCCATTTCCTTATCCCTACCCTGGCAATTTGAGATCTCTTGGGAGTTTCTGGGACAGGACTTCTGTGGTTCTGTGTTATTGCCGGGTTGGGGAAGGTCAAGGCAGTAAGGCACTTAGGACTTCCATCCAGTCCTATAACCCCACCAGCTCCATGGCCTCCCAAGGGAGTATCACAGTTGTTCACCTCTGCAGCTGGGGTCAGCCCTGCTTCAGCTCAGCATTATTCATTCCTGTTCACCAGGAAACATGTATGAGCACTGGGATAAGCAACGACAAAGGAGATGTGTGTCTGCTGTGAAGGTGCTCAGAGCTGGGCCGTGCAGAGCTTGGGCAGACCTATGGGAGGACTGGGGAAGGAGTTCTGTCTTGTGTTTGGGAGTCCCAAGATGAGCTAGGTTTCCTCTCTGCCTACAGTCTTCTGGGAATGTCTGGGTCACCCATGAAGAGATGGAAACTCTGGCAACATCCACCAAAACAGTGAGTCTAGTCCTTAGTCCTAGGACCAGTGATACCTCAAGGGTGAAGGGGAGAGTGTGGGAAGTTGGGGGGCTGGCAGTAGATCTCATGTCCTTGATTGGCTTCTGCTCTCAGGAGGTGGGTTTTGCAGGTGACGTGGGGAATATTCTGAGTGTGTGTATGTGTGTCCTTGGGAGAGTGTGGGGTGTGGGGTGCCTGTTCCAGGGTTATAAGCAGCCTAGGACCTGGAACACTGCAGGGGAGAAGACCTGGGGTGCAGAGGCTATTGTCCTGCTGGTGGGCCTGAGCTTCATAGGCCTTACTCTTGGCTTGGTCCTTGGCAGAGGAGCAGAGGGGCGCTGGGAGTACATGGCATCTTTCCTGGCTTCCAGTCAGGCCTGCCTGGGATGTGTGGCGGTGTCTGTTGCCACACCACTGTGCTCCCCTTTTACTGCCACTGTGGGTACCAGCCTTCTGCTCTCACTGTCTGCTAGTCACCCACACAGCTCTTCTCCCCCCCACCTGCCCCCACTTTGGATGGAGCTTGGGGTGGAGAGGCTGGGTTTCTTGACTTTCCTGTTTCCCTGACATGCCGCGCTTGTTCCTGCTAGGACAGTGAGGAGGGCAGCTGGGCCCAGGTAAGACTCCCTGGCTCATTGAGCCAGCTCTCAGGCCAGGACTTCGTCCTTCTAACAGCCCTCTTTAGCTTGGCCCACCTGGTCCCAGTGTGCATGCATCCACAGGCAGAGCCGTGATGCAGTTCTTTCCTCTTGCTGAACGACCCCTCCTCTCCTAACCCCCGCCCCCCCCCCTCCCCCGCCCCCGCCACTCCTCCTTAGCTCTGCCCTCTGATTTCCCCAGAGGGCAGCTGAGGTCAGCACCACTGGGTCCTCTTTTCTCAGGAATGCGGAGACTCAGATTCCCAAGTCCCCTCCTCTCCCTGTCCCTCCCTGGGGCGAACCTGGCATGTAATGTCTGCTGGCTATTCTAAGATGGTTAAGTGAACCAGCAAAGCCACCCTGGAGCTGTAAACAAGAGAAACTATCAACAAGCAGTAACAATAGGATAGAGATAAAAACAAACAAAGGGACAGTATTGGATCATGATAAGTGCTATGAGGAAAAAGGAAGCCAAGCAGCTACTCCCAGGAACCCCATCCGGGGGACAGGGCAGGGCATTGCTGTCATACAGTAAGACACTTCAGCAGAGCCTCTCAATCTGAGACATACAAGTGAAATATGAATTCCAGCAACATTTTAAAAAAAACAAAACAAAACAAAAAACAAGGGTTGGGAATATGGCTTAGTGGTAGGGCACTTGCCTAGCATGTATGAAGCCCTGGTTTGATTCCTCAGTACCACATAAACAGAAAAGGCCAGAAGTGGCACCGTGGTTCAAGTGGTAGAGTGCTAGCCTTGAGCAAAAGAAGCTCAGGGACAGTGACCAGGTGCTAAATTCAAGCTCCAGGCCTGGCAAACCAAACCAAACCAAACAAACAAAAACCAAGCAAAGTTAATATATTCTTTAGAAAAATCTTTATTGGTGACTGTAAGTATATATAATATGTGTATGTAATAGGCATATATATGCATTACTGGGGTTTGAACTCAGCGCCTTGTAGTTTCCAGTCAGGCACTCTACTGCTTGTGCTATGTCCCATCCCTTTGTTTAAATAAGGTCTTACATTTTACATTTATGCTTAGGCCAGCTTGGACGGTGATCCTCCTATTGACATTTCCTGTATAGCTAGGATGACAGTTGATGCCACCATGCCAGCTTTTACTGATTGAGATGGAGGTCTCACAGAATTTTTACCCAGACCAATAAAAAGAACTATGCTCTTCATCTCTACCTCCCAAGTAGCTAGGTTTATAGTCATGAGCCAATGAGCCTGGTTTGTAAGAATGTATTTTTAAGCATGAGAATGCCATACAGGAAATTGTGGTGGTTACTTCTATGGGGAGCAGTAAGTAATGGCATGGGGAAGAACCACAGAATGATGGATGTGAGGGTGAGGATCATATTCTGGTTCCTAACTCAGATACTTGTCCAAACTTCACTTTTATGCTTAAAAAATGGCTTTTGTGACATATAGTTTTATATGTACCAACAATTACCTTTTAGAAGGTAACAAAATAGAACCTTTGAAACTGAAAAACATTAAGTAGGATGAGGTTGATGAAGGTGGTATAGGGTAACTGTAAAAAAAAGTTTTCTAAAGATAGTGTTCAGAGCGCAGCAGGAGGTGATGTCAGAGTCAGTGTAGGCTTCTCAGAGCTAGGTGTGGTCTGTGCACAGAAAAAACCCTGAAGGACCTGCAGAATTCTTAGAGCTGAGTACCAGGCCTTAGGGAACCAAACTGGCTCTTCAGGCACAGGCCATCTGTGGTTGGGTTTTGTCTGTCTTCAGTCCAAACTTATCATCCCTGTGGCTTGTGAGGCCAGTGGTTTCCAGAGTGGGCTGATACCTTGCCTCTCTGCGTGTCCACTGTCACACAGCTTGTGCATTGGGCTGAGAGTCAAGGAGGCTGGTCAGCTGGACAGCAGCAAACACGCCTTCCTGAGTCTGCAGGAGGGACTTCTACTCTGCTGCCTGGACAGGGACTCCTATTGTGTAGTATAGATGATTGATGCACGAATGAAACTCAGCCTTTATGTGTGTGTGTGTGTGTGTGTGTGTGTGCGCGTGCGTGCGTGCGCGCGCGCGCACACACGCACGCACACTGATCCTGGGGCTTGAACTCAGGACCTGGGAACTGCCTCTTACCTTTTTCTGCTTAAGATTAGCACTCTACCACTTGAGCTATACCTCCACTTCTGGCTTTTTGCTGGTTAATTGGAGATAAGAGTCAAAGACTTTCCTGCCTGGGCCGGCTTCAAATCACAATTCTCAGATCTCAACTCCTGTGCACCTAGGATTATGGACATGAGCCCCTGGAGACTGGCCAGAACCCAATAATTTTGAGTCCTGAAAAGTTCCATTGAAATCTCCTACCACCTACTATTCCCAGCCTCTTAGTGAAAAGAAACTGGAGTGTTATGAGTCCTTCTCCCTCCTTCATGGTGGAGGGTGGATGAAAGCTTCTCCTCACCAGATTTACCAGCTCTGACCTGATAGCAGTACCTTCCTCTTCTCATCCCCAGACCCTGGCCTATGGAGACATGAACCATGAGTGGATTGGGAATGAATGGCTGCCCAGTCTTGGGCTCCCTCAGTACCGCAGCTACTTCATGGAGTGCCTGGTGGATGCACGCATGCTGGATCACCTCACCAAGAAAGACCTGCGGGTCCACCTGAAGATGGTGGACAGCTTCCATCGGTGAGCCAGGCCTGAGCCGGGGCGGGGTCTGTCTCCATGAATGGAGGTGCCTCTCCTCTCTTTCCATGGCTGGTCCCAGTGGTAACAGGTGTCCTGGTTGTGAAAGTCTCCTTCACGGAATTCATGTCTTATCCTGCGATGGGAGGACTTGATCCTTTCACCTCCAACCCTTAGTACACACAAAGTCATTTCTTTGGGGCATCATCTTTTCTTGGTTTCCTCCAAGGTCTGAAATTTCTTGGCTTGTTTTTGAGCTTGCTGGATTTTCCATTTCTGCCAAGTGGATGCACCTGAAATCTGTCATTTGATTTAGATGTTTCAGTTCCTTCCAGGTTGAGTGAAAGGGTGGCTGGGGCTTGGCCCTGGGAGGAATCAGCTGTGGGTCACATCCTTTTGTGTGTGGTGTCACCCATTTCTCCCCTCCTCTTGGCTAAAAAGATCTGCTCAGCTGTGGGCAGAGGTCCTAAACTGGCAACCAATGGGAGGAATTTGGCGTATAGATATGTTTCACTTGGCCCACATATATTTTGAAAATCACTCATTTTGTTGCCAGTACTTCAATGTAGGAGAATTCATACAGACTTCTGGATTTCTGGCTTTGCAAACCTGAAGCTCTGGCAACAATCTAGCAGTTTAAGTAGCCCCCTGGCTGGTGCGGCCTTCACTGGCTCCTCCAGCCCTTTCAGCCTGCTTCCCAGCAAGTATTTAACTTGGAGAGAGTGGTGGATAATAATGCTTCTAGAAGTTGACTTTGTTTTTGGTCGGTCATGGGGCCTGAACTCTGGGCCTGGGCGCTGTCCCTCAGCTCTTCAGCTCAAGGCTCGTGTTCTACCACTTGAGCCACAGCACCACTTCTAGCTTTTTCTGCTTATGTCGTGCTGAGGAATCAAACCCAGAGCTTCATGCATGCAAGGCAAGCATTCTACCACTGAGCCACCTTCCCAGCCCTTTTTGAAAGTCCTCCACAGAATCCAGATTCAAGTAGCCCCGTTTGTTATTTAAGCCAGGTCGTTTCCCTTGAGTGGGGTTAAGGTTGTGCAGCCTTTCAGGGTTCTCTAGGGCTTGTAGCTGCCCTACTGCTTATGTAAATCAGGAAGGGATCTAGGTAGCTTATTATGCATTTTAATGGATGGGGAACCAGTGGTGGGAAAGACTGGTAACCCACGTGCAGGTGGAATCAAGTCTGCAGACTCAAGTCCAATGCTGTGGTCACCATAGGCAGAGACTTCTGTCTTGACCTCAGCTCAACTTGGCCTCTCTTCCTCCCGCTCCCCTCACTGGGCTGAAAAGGAATCTTTTGTCTCTGGGAGGGAGGCTGCCAGGCCCAGCGGCACCTGTCCTGTCCTCCTTGATTGATAGGGCTGGGGAGAAGGGGGAGTCTCTTGCCAAGCCAGAATGGGCCTGGGCTGCTGAGGAGCCCCTCCAGCCTCAGTGGGATGTGGAAGTTACCCCACTCATCATCCCTCTGGCTCAGCCCCCTCTGGGAGGGAAGGCAGCTTGCCGCATGCTGCTCCTAGACCAGCTTTGTTCTCCAGTGCTTCCGACTTCGAAAGCCTTTCCACATCCTCTCTCCCTAGCTATCTAGCACGATCTGCTTTTATTCCACTTAGATTTCATAAACATGTTCCGCAATCTAGAATAATTCTATTAACTCATCCTTTTTTATGACAAGAAAGGGATATTTAAGAACCTTTCATGCTCCCTCAGGGTAGCCAAGGCATCACCCAGCTGAGTGAGAATAAATGTATGGTTTGAAAGTGGTGTCTCTGAACTATAACTTTGGGGCAGAAGGATTTCTGGATAGAACTGTGGGGAGACCAGAAGGGTGTAGTCTGCATAATTTATTCTCACAAGTAATGGCTCGGTAATAGAGTCAAAAACAGCTGGCACCAGGTGCCAGTGGCTCATGACCGTAACCCTAGCTGCTTAGGAGGCTGAGATCTGATGATCACAGTTTGGAGGCAGCCCTGGCAGAAAAGTATGTGAGGCTCTTTTCTCCAATTAGTCATAAAAAGCTAGAAGTGGAACTGTGGCTCAAGTGGTAGAGTTCTAGTCTTGAGCACAAAAGCTCAGTGAGAAAGTTCAGGCCCAGAGTTCAAGTCCCAGGACTCCCTCCCCGCCCCACCAAAAATAAAGCAGTTGGTGTTGGAAAGAACTTTTTGTCCCTCCAGGGATGGAAAAACCCAGAACAGCTAAAGGACTGAGTTATGTTAAGCGAAAGCCCTAGGAAATCATCCAGGGTGGGATGAGCTGCCTGGGGAAGGGAGAGTCAATGGAGGTATCTGGGGACTGGCTGAGTAACTGCTCTGTAAGGTACATAAAGGTGGCTCCTGCTTTAGGAGAAGCTAATGACTAATTAGACTAACAGCTCTGGTGTTCCTTCTAGCCTACAGACTCTAGTTCTCAGTCTGGCTTACTTAGTGATTTTAGGGCATACTGTGTCCTGGCACTCTTTAAGTACTCCTAGTAATTTATATGAATTATCGCAATTATTTATTTGTTTGTTTATTTATTTATTGTTGTTCGTGAGACTTGAACTCTGGGCCTGGGCGCTGTGCCTGAGCTCTTCAGCTCAAGGTGAGCACTCTGCCACTTGAGCCACAGCTCTACTTCCAGTTTTCTGGTGGTTAACTGGAGATAAGAGTCCCACAGATGTTCCTGGCCAGGCTGGTTTTGAACCTTGATCCTCAGATCTCAGCCTCCTGAGTCGCTAGGATTACAGGTGTGAGCCACCGGCAACTGGCTGAATTATCCCATTTGATTCACTGAACATTTATAGAGTATTTCCTTATGTGCTAGAGTTGTAAGATGTGTTGTAAGTGAACAGAACTAAGTCCCTGCCCTCATGGAGTTTGTATTCTAACTTGGCAAGACAGTTAAGGAGAATAACCATCCAGTATGTTAAATAGATCAGAAATGCTATGGAAAAAAATCAAACCAAGAAGAAGAAGATTGGGAGTTGAGGTATGGGTGGTGTTGGTACAGTTTTTAAAGCTGATGAACAAGGAAAAGAAAATAACTGTACAAGCCCCAGCAAGAGATGTGTGAGAGGGCTGGGGGCCTCCCTGCTGGAGGAGGTGGGTCTGTACTTGCTGTGGCTGCTCTGGGGGGAGGGGTAATGGGGCAAGTGGGCAGGAACATGGCCCTACTGTGGCTCAGGCTCAGGGGGCTTGTGCCTGCAGAACCAGCCTTCAGTATGGCATCATGTGTCTGAAGAGGCTAAATTATGACCGGAAGGAGTTGGAGAAGAGGCGGGAGGAGAGTCAGCACGAGATCAAGGGTAAGCTGCTGGGGCCTGCTGGGGCCTCCATAGAAAAGGGCAGCGCAGCCTGCCTCTCTGGTCTCTCCCTTGGACCCAGTGGACATTCCCACCCCCAAGGAGAAGATGCAGACCAGCTGCTTCATGGACTTCCAGTCTGAGGAAAGGGCTGTAGTCCGTGCATGGTCAGCTGTGATAACCTTTGCTACAGGCTGAGGCCTAAAACCAGGCAACTGTTGGCCCTTTCCTGAGTCCTGTGGACTGGCAGGGATGGGATGAGGTGGGGCTGGTTCTGGAGACACTCAGGATCCAAGAAGGCAGAAAGAAGATGTGGGAGTTGGAGAAGGGATGGGAGCTGGAGAGCAGGTGACTGGGCTCCAGGCTAGGGAACTCTATCTGTGTCCCTGCAGGATCAGGGACAAACCTGTTGTCTTGTTTTTGCTCCTTCCTTCCCCTGTCCTTCAGATGTGCTGGTCTGGACCAATGACCAGGTTGTTCACTGGGTCCAGTCTATTGGGCTTCGGGATTATGCAGGAAACCTGCATGAAAGTGGGGTCCATGGCGCCTTGCTGGCCCTGGATGAGAACTTTGATCACAACACATTGGCCTTGGTCCTCCAGATTCCCACGCAGAACACCCAGGTGGGCAACCCATCAATCTGTCTCTGTCATGCATGTGTGTGCAGGCCCAGGGGTTTGCCTGTATGTTTGGTAGGAGCTCTTCTGGAGCATGTCTCAAAGGGGAGGATTGTGATGTCCTCAAATTTCCCTGTGTATAGCCAAGGTCCCTAGGGCATGTGCCCTTTATGGGCAGAGACACCTGGGTTTGTCTCCACTTTGCGGTGGGTACCTGCAGCTCCTTCCAGTGCCTTTCATACTTCACACTTGATGTCTTCTGGCTCCTCAACCTGCTTCACTCAGCTATCCAACCTGACTTAAGAGGAAAGCGAGCCCCGAGGCCCATAGAGACCAGATAGCCCATAGCTCCCTTGCCTGCCTCCCTAGGGATCTGTTCCTGGGCTTCCAGGTGTCCCAAACCTAAATATACCAGATAGTACAGCCCAAAACCTTTTTACCCATCCACAGAACTGCCCATCCACAGCCCAAAAGATTAGACATCTCCTTAAATTACATTCCATATTTATGATGGAGCTGTCATCCACAAATGTATCTAAATTCCCTTGAACCTATTTATACTTTTGGCTTTTCTAACTTCCTGTGGGTAATGGACTCTAGCAGTACTAACAATTGTGTAAAGTACTTCCTGATTTTATTTGTCAGGCTTTCCCTAGGGAAGAAACAACCCCCTCCTGGTGTAGGTTTGGTAAGGATGTTTGTATTTGACCAGTTCTCACCTTTTGTACGAACTGTGAATTTCATAAACTCTGATTTTATTGCCTCTAGGCCCAAGCTTTTGTCTTTCCAGACAGAGTAGTCTTAATTCTTTTAGCCTTCCCTCATATAGACTTGTCCATGTCCCTGATCATTTTAGCTGCCCTTGTCTGGACTGTTTGCAGCTGTCAGAATGCTTTTGAAATTCAGCCAGCCAGGCTCTGTGGGCTATTCTGGGAGCAGACACGTTTTGACTTGAGGGGGGATAGGGCAGTGTGTCTCCTGGGTGCTGTGCTGGCCTCTGGGACAATGGCAGCACACAGTGTCATTGTGTACTATAGGGTCTCTGCAGTAACCCTTTCTAGTCAGCCAAAACAAAGCATGGATCCCTTCTTTTCCAGGAACAGCTTAAATCTCTGTCTGGGTGCCACTGTCTGCCTTTGCTCACCTTAGCCCTTTTTGTCTTGTTCCTGCTCTGTTTCTCAAGCTGATAGCTCTCCACTTTTTGTTATGCAGAGGAGTAGCACATTAGATACTTGAAAATTAACTCTGCTTTTCCTTTCAGAACATTTGTGAAAGCTGTGCTCCCAACACTGATGAAGATTAACCTATAGAACTGGAAATGGGCCCAACCAGAAATGAGCTTTTTTTTTTCTCTTTCCTTCATTCACCATCTCAAAATTCTAGTTTTGTGGGTGGTGATAGTTCTTTAAATTTGTATTAAAGATACTTATCCCTCTCTTCCTAACCTTTCTTATTATCCTGACTTTATTTATTTAGCTATTTGGGGAAGTAGTAGCCAACCCAGTATGAATTCCTTCACTTTTTTTTTTTTTGGTGTCAGTATGGGGCTTGAACTCAGGGCATTATACTCTTGCTTCGCTCTTTCTGCTCAAGGCTGGCTCTACCACTTGAGCTATATCTCCATCTCAAGATTTTTGCTAGCTAACTGTAGATAAGAGTCTTTTAGACTTGTCTTCCCAGGCTGGCTTTGAACTATGATCCTCAGTTCTTAGCCTCCTGAGTAGCTAAGATTAACAGGTATGAGCCACTGGTGCCCTAAAATGATCAAAATTATCTGGGAGTTAGGGATGTGGCTCGAGTGATCAGAGTTCTTGCCCTGGGTTCAATACCCATTGCCACCCCCCCAAAAAAAAAGTGGTAGCAGAAAGGTTTGAAAACTTTATTTGTTTTTCGCAGTTTTCTTAATAAGTTAATTTCTGAAAGGCAAGAGCCTCTGTATGCTATGTAGGCCAGGACCACCAATATCTACTGCTGAACAGTAGTTGAAATTTGGGATGTGGAACCTCTCCCCTCCCCCTTCCCCCCCCCCCCCCCCTCTCTGTCTGTCTGTCTGTCTGTCTCTCTCTCTCGCTCTCCCTCTGCTCCCCCCAACCTCCCCCCACATTGCAAATAAGTTAAGTCTTGGTTATCTGTAGTCTGTATTTAGTTCTTATCCTAGCCCTCCAAGAGAAGTCATGCATGATTTTCCCCTTATGGGAAAAATGTGGGTTTTGTCCAGTAGTTAAAGCCTATCCATTCGTGTGGTCTGTGTTTTTTTTTTTTTTTTTTTTGCTAAATGATATTCCCCCCTCCCTCCAATGTACACACTGTTAGTGGTTTACTTGACAAGGGCCTCAGGAAGGTTTTGAATAGGCAAATACACTAACCTTCTGCCCCTTCTCAGCCCTCAGACCCCAAGAAACAGGTAGAAGATGGCAGAAAGGTCATTAACCTTAGCCTTCTCCCCTTTGTCTTTCTTGCCTTGTGGCTCCCAGGCCCGCCAGGTGATGGAAAGAGAGTTCAATAACCTTTTGGCATTGGGCACAGACCGGAAGCTGGATGACGTGAGTACCTGGCTGTGAATCCAAGGCCTTGGGGATCCGGTTGGTTGGACTGAGGTTGATGAGTTCTGCCTATCCTGGCTGATGATGGGTGAGCTTGCCTCAGGGAAGAGATCCAGGAGTATGAGATGTTTTAGAAGTCAGGGAGGCCAGCCAGGCTCAGCTGACTGAGCAGTGACTGTGAATTCTATATGACTTCTATCTGGCATAAGTATGTGATACTTCAAGCATCTTCTGGCTTCAGGCCCAGTGCTCCTAACTACACAGGATCAAATGTCTTCCCTAGAAACCATACCCTTGGGGTCTAATTTGTCTTTTAGACCCCATCTCAGTGACACTTCTCTGCCTGCTAGGAGACAGCAGCCTCTGGCTCCATCCTGTTGTATCTGAGGATAGAGGTACTGAGTGACAGTCCTCTGCTCCTCGTACACTCTGATGGCATTAAACACATAGCTTAAGCGTCCATCATCCCAGCTCCCTGGCTTTATGTTCTCTCTGTTGTCATACTACATTAGGGCTGGCCTCTCTTGGTCACTGCAGATGCAGTCTTATGCCTTTCTTCTTCAAGCCTTCCTCTCAAGTTCATGGCAGACCCTGACAGCTTGAGCCATAAGTATCTCCTTAGAAATACCTATCCCAGTTCACCTGTTCCCCAGGACTACAGCCTGGCTACCACCTCTGCCTTTCTCCTCTCTAATTACTTGCCTGCCCTCGCCAGTCACATCTGCCTTAGCCATTCTGGCTCCAAGAATGTTAAAAAAGAGCCCAGGCTCTGTTTATTTTTAGCTTCTTCATCTTCAGACAGATCATTGTTTCTTAGTTGGATTTAACAAGGCTAAAAACCACCTTTGTAGAAGACCACTCACTAGTAGACAGGACACACGAGAATACATAGATTTTTGTTGTTGTTGTTGTTGTTGGTCAAGGGGTCTGAACTCTGGGCCTGGGTGCTGTCCCTCAGCTCTTCAGCTCAAGGTGAACACTCTACCACTTGAGCCACAGCGTCACTTCCAGCTTTTTCTGCTTATGTGGAGCTAAGGAATTAAACCTAGGGCCTCATGCATGCAAGGCAAGCACTCTACCACTGAGCTACCTTCCCAGCCCTACACAGCATTTTTTTTGGGGGGGTCCAGTCATGGGGCCTGAACTCTGGGCTTGGGCACTGTCCCTCAGCTCTTCAGCTCAAAACTAGCGCTCTACCACTTGAGCCATAGTGCCACTCCGGCTTTTTTCTTTTTGCTTATGTGGTGCTGAGGAATCGAACCCAGGGCCTTGAGCATGCAAGGCAAGCGCTCTACCACTGAGCCACCTTCCCAGCCCCCCTACACAGCATTTTTGAAGGTGTGTTTTCACAGAGGTACCCTGAAGTTGGGTATGTGTATTTGAATACACATATGTATACATGTATATATGAACGTGTGTGCATGCATGTACATTCTAATGATGTAGATACACCACCTGATTCCCCTGGCTGTCCCTCTTCTCAGACCCTTTAATTCCTTCTCATCTCCATGCTCCTGCAGTGCTGACCCTATCATTTTGTTTGCACAAACTGACAGTCTTAGCTTTCTTTGTCATCAGAAAAATGACTCCCATATATGTTAGTGTGGTATGTGCGTTCTTGTTTCTTTTCCTTTCTTCCTTCCTTCCTTCCTTCCTTCCTTCCTTCCTTCCTTCCTTCCTTCCTTCCTTCCTTCCTTCCTTCCTTCCTTCCTTCCTTCCTTCCTTCCTTCTTTCCTTCCTCTTTTTTTTTTTTTTGGTTGGTTGTGGGGCTTGAACTCTGGGCCTGGGCGCTGCCCTGAGCTCTTCAGCTCAAGGTGAGCACTCTGCCACTCGAGCCACAGCATCACTTCCGATTTTCTGGTGGTTTATTGGAGATAAGAGTCTCATAGATTTTCCTGCCCAGGTGGGCTTTGAACTGCGATCCTCAGATCTCAGCTTCCTGAGTAGCTAGGATTATAGGCATGAGCTACCAGTGCCTGGCAAGTATGGTGCTTTCTTAGAAGGCTATTTTTTGCTTCAATCCTCATGACAATCTTCTTTGAATGCCTTCTCTGTCCAGGATGAGCCAGGCACAGTAGCTCAGTGGTAACAGGAGTTTCATTTTGTTCTGATTGTCATCTATGGAGGTTATTATTGGCATCTTTCAGATGAGACTGGAAGGTCAAAGAAGCACCTCACAGAACTGGTATGTGGCAGGGTAGGTCTGGAGCAGTTGCATGTCTGCTTCCAGGGCTCTTTCCTGCTATCTCCTGGATGCCAATAGAGCTAGCTGGTTTCCAGTACATCTCACTGTGAAGTGGAGCTGTTGAGTGGAGCCAAGGGATACTGTCTGACAGCATAGTGAGGTTTCAGGGCTGCTTCTAGATATGGGATGAGAGAGGTCTGGTTCTTGCAGGAAAATTAAAGTAAAAGCTTGGTGGTGAGAATAGGGAAAGTTGGTAAAGAGGACGGACTAGGGAGAAAGTCTGATATCCAAGGAGTCTGCCTCCAGAGCATGAAGCATGTCATGGGTAGTCTGAAGCTGAGTCTTGCAATGACTTCTTCTGCCAGTTCTTCCATTTCCCTTGTCAAGCATCAAGGCTCTGAAAGGCTTCATCCTGGTCTCCCTCTACATGGAGATTGCTCAAGGGAAATGAGGAGAAGCAGAAAGAACATGTGCCCCATAGAAAACTTGAGGACCTAGAAGTCAGTCTTTGGGGTTGGCTGAAGGTGGTTGCAAGGGGTGAGGGAGGGAGGACAGGGCTAGATTAAGGGGAGGATCATGTGGAGGCTAGCATGATGAAGTTCTTGCTAGGATGGAACTCCTGCACAGGAGACAAATGCCAGTCTTTTCATTTAGCAGATCATTATTGAGTGTCTGTGGTATTCCCAGACACAGCTCACGAGCTGGGGATTCACTGGTTTCATGGTTTCTGCCTCCATGGAGCATAGAATTTGAGACAGAGGAAGAAAGAGAAAGTGAAAGGGGTGGAGGTAGGGGAGCTGGAAAGAAATATTCATGAAATCCTCTCTCGTAAGACCGTATAAAAATGCCTCTGGGACAAGTGCTAAGGAGTGTGAGAGCGTTTGGGTTCCACAGGGCACAGACAACAAATCCCAAGGGTTGGAGATAGATGTGTTGTTGAGGGGGAAACAAGGGGTTAATGCCAGTATTCCTTCTGGTATGGCTCAGCTGCAGCTGGGCCCCTGCAGTTCTGAGGACACAGAGTGGAAGGCGGGCTGGCTAGATCAGGAGGGCTATGGCTCTGATGGATGGCGTTTTCTCTAAGGTTGTGGTCCTGAGTGCCCATTGGCAGAGAGTGATTTTGGAGACATGGCTGCAGTTGGTGAGGGGCATGTGGTGTCCATCTTGTCCTTTGGAGGAGTGTATCTCTGATCATCCTCCTGACCCATTACTGCCATGGAGTAACTGGTATGAGCCCATTGGAGTGGGTAGTCCAGGAGCTAGGTGGGGCAGACCTTGGCATTTGCATTTTATATAAGAGGAAATGAGCCAGCTTGGCCTGGGCACATTGCCGCTCCTAAGGCAGAGTCAAGAAAGCCAGGTGTTCTCAGTCCTGTGCTGCCCCAGGGTGACTGGTGGCAGCCCTGTGCAGGCCCAGGGAAGCCTCGGCTCCTATCCACGCTTAGAGGAGCCACTTCACAAGGGGAGGCTGAGAAGAGAAATGCCTAGAAAGATCTGTGGACACCCCAGCTTCAGTTTGGGACCGTTGGGGTGTGGGGGAAAGCTGAGCCCACTGCTGGATGACTGCTGTGACCTCAGCAGCCTCCTTCTTGACCCCTTGTAGCTGGCTCAGAGTTCCCACCTCACCTCTGATCCAGAGTCCAGAGGAAGAACTGAGGGCTAGAAAGCCAGCCAGCCCTGGGCCTGGCTCCCTTCTTTGCTAAGGGACGAGTGTGGTAGCCCTAGAGCGGGGCACGTTCCAGCGCACCCCCAGGTCCTGAGTGTGCCCCGGGTCCTGCGTGTGTCCCGGGTCCTGAGTGTGCCCGGGGTACTGAGTGTGCCCCGGGTCCTGCGTGTGCCCCGGGTCCTGCGTGTGCCCGGGGTTCTGAGTGTGCCCCGGGTCCTGCGTGTGCCCCGGGTCCTGCGTGTGCCCGGGGTCCTGAGTGTGCCCCGGGTCCTGAGTGTGTCCCGGGTCCTGCGTGTGCCCCGGGTCCTGCGTGTGCCCGGGGTCCTGAGTGTGCCCGGGGTCCTGAGTGTGCCCGGGGTCCTGAGTGTGCCCCGGGTCCTGCGTGTGCCCGGGGTCCTGCGTGTGCCCCGGGTCCTGAGTGTGCCCGGGGTCCTGAGTGTGCCCCGGGTCCTGCGTGTGCCCCGGGTCCTGAGTGTGCCCCGGGTCCTGCGTGTGCCCCGGGTCCTGCGTGTGCCCCGGGTCCTGCGTGTGCCCCGGGTCCTGAGTGTGCCCGGGGTCCTGCGTGTGCCCCGGGTCCTGCGTGTGCCCGGGGTCCTGAGTGTGCCCGGGGTCCTGCGTGTGCCCGGGGTCCTGCGTGTGCCCCGGGTCCTGCGTGTGCCCGGGGTCCTGAGTGTGCCCCGGGTCCTGCGTGTGCCCCGGGTCCTGCGTGTGCCCGGGGTTCTGAGTGTGCCCCGGGTCCTGCGTGTGCCCCGGGTCCTGCGTGTGCCCGGGGTCCTGAGTGTGCCCCGGGTCCTGAGTGTGTCCCGGGTCCTGCGTGTGCCCCGGGTCCTGCGTGTGCCCGGGGTCCTGAGTGTGCCCGGGGTCCTGAGTGTGCCCGGGGTCCTGAGTGTGCCCCGGGTCCTGCGTGTGCCCGGGGTCCTGCGTGTGCCCCGGGTCCTGAGTGTGCCCGGGGTCCTGAGTGTGCCCCGGGTCCTGCGTGTGCCCCGGGTCCTGAGTGTGCCCCGGGTCCTGCGTGTGCCCCGGGTCCTGCGTGTGCCCCGGGTCCTGCGTGTGCCCCGGGTCCTGAGTGTGCCCGGGGTCCTGCGTGTGCCCCGGGTCCTGCGTGTGCCCGGGGTCCTGAGTGTGCCCGGGGTCCTGCGTGTGCCCGGGGTCCTGCGTGTGCCCCGGGTCCTGCGTGTGCCCGGGGTCCTGAGTGTGCCCCGGGTCCTGCGTGTGCCCCGGGTCCTGCGTGTGCCCGGGGTCCTGAGTGTGCCCCGGGTCCTGCGTGTGCCCCGGGTCCTGCGTGTGCCTGGGGTCCTGAGTGTGCCCCGGGTCCTGCGTGTGCCCGGGGTCCTGCGTGTGCCCCGGGTCCTGAGTGTGCCCCGGGTCCTGCGTGTGCCCCGGGTCCTGCGTGTGCCCCGGGTCCTGCGTGTGCCCCGGGTCCTGAGTGTGCCCGGGGTCCTGAGTGTGCCCCGGGTCCTGCGTGTGCCCCGGGTCCTGCGTGTGCCCCGGGTCCTGCGTGTGCCCCGGGTCCTGCGTGTGCCCCGGGTCCTGAGTGTGCCCGGGGTACTGAGTGTGCCCCGGGTCCTGCGTGTGCCCTGGGTCCTGCGTGTGCCCGGGGTTCTGAGTGTGCCCCGGGTCCTGCGTGTGCCCCGGGTCCTGCGTGTGCCCGGGGTCCTGAGTGTGCCCCGGGTCCTGAGTGTGTCCCGGGTCCTGCGTGTGCCCCGGGTCCTGCGTGTGCCCGGGGTCCTACGTGTGCCCTGGGTCCTGAGTGTGCCCGGGGTCCTGAGTGTGCCCCGGGTCCTGCGTGTGCCCGGGGTCCTGCGTGTGCCCCGGGTCCTGAGTGTGCCCGGGGTCCTGAGTGTGCCCCGGGTCCTGCGTGTGCCCCGGGTCCTGCGTGTGCCCCGGGTCCTGCGCGTGCCCCAGGTCCTGCGTGTGCCCCGGGTCCTGAGTGTGCCCGGGGTCCTGAGTGTGCCCCGGGTCCTGCGTGTGCCCCGGGTCCTGCGTGTGCCCGGGGTCCTGAGTGTGCCCGGTGTCCTGCGTGTGCCCCGGTCCTGAGTGTGCCCCCCTGGTGCAGGGGGAAGACAAAGTGTTCCGCCGCGCCCCGTCTTGGAGGAAACGCTTCCGGCCGCGGGACCACCACAGCGGGGGCATGCTGGGCACGTCGGCCGAGACCCTCCCGGCGGGCTTCCGAGTGTCCACGCTGGGTCCCCTGCAGCCCCCGCCCGCCCCACCCAAGAAGATCCTTCCGGAAGGTGAGCGGGCGGGGCTCGGCGGGCACCGCGGCCTGCGGCCTGGCGGGTAGCGGGCGCGGCCGGCGCTGCTGTAACGGCTGTGTGTCGAGGGGGCGCTGCGGGGCCGGCCATGCGGGGACCCTGCCGCGGCCACCGGGCGGGCGGGCGGCGGGCGGGCGGGCGCGCACTAACCCGGCTCTGTGTTCTCCCGCGCTGCCAACTCCCCCCCAGCCGGGCCGGCGGGGGCGCAGAGACTGGAGACCTCCACGGTTCGGACCTATTCCTGCTGACCCCCACCCTCCCGCCCCGGGTCCGACGGGGGTGCGCCCCCGGCTCGGGGTAAGTGGGCCCGGCCCGGGGCGCCCCCGCCGCACGCCCGGCCCCGCCCGGCCCGCCCGGCCGCTGGCTCCGCCTGCCCGCTCTGCCTGGCCCTGCCCTGCCCGGCTCCGCTTGCCCTGCCCGGCCCTGCCTGCCCTGCCGGCTCCCTTCCCGCGCGCGCGTGGCTTGGGGCGCTTTGCGCTAGGGAGCATGCTGCCGATCCTCGCGTCCGGCTCTGGGGGTCCGGGGGAGCGGAGGGATCCACGCTCACGGCTGCCTATGTCTCTTCTCTCTCAGCTCGCTCCCACTATCTCTACGGACACATGCTCTCCGCCTTCCGGGACTAGCCACGGCCTGGGCTGCCTGGCATCTCCCGGGTTCCCAGGCTCAGCCGGCCCCCGGCCCCTCCTGCTCGCTCCCCTTCTTCCACGCCGCCCAGTCTCGTCCTTCTGTGACTGTCCAGTTGTTCTGGATCTCAGAGTTATCCCCCACCACCCCCCACCCGGGCCCCGGGCATCCCACTATCCCCATTCCCACTGCGCGTCCTTTCTAAGTCTCTTGTGGATGTGGCCTGGGTCTCCTCGTGTCCCGGAGGTACCCAGGTCATCCGTGCTTGGTGCTTGGGATTCTGCGGGATGGAGCCCAGCGTGGCACCATGCTCCCCCCTCTGGACCTAGCCTGGTCTGGACTGTGCCCTCCACCAGGACCAGGCCCCACCCTGGGTCAAGGCCTGAGCCGGCCCCTCCTGCAAGGGAGCCTCTCAGACTCCTCCTTGCCCGGCCTGTTCTGCCTCCTGGTCCCTGCCCACTCTGGCAGTCTCCTCACAGTTGGTTTGGGGATCTCCAGCATCATCTCGCCCCCTTCCCAACCCACCACAACTTGAAGCTCCTGCTTCTGGGACTTGCTTGGGCATTGGAAGGGCTGCAGAAGACCCGATTGTCCGCAGCCAGGATGGTGAGACCCAGAAGGAGAACTGGGGACACTGAGGGAGAAACTGTGGGCCCTGGCTTAAGCCAAATCCCAGACAGGATGAGAAAGGGATCCCAGAGCTTCCTGCCCAGGGTGAGGGTGGTGAACCTTTCAGCCCTCTATCTGATGAGAGGGGTAGACAGGCAAGACAGAGGGAGAACTAACTGATGGCCCCTGGAAGCCATAAGCTCAAGGACACTGGGAATGTTAGCCCAAGCCCCAGGGACACTGGTCCTGCTGGGGAAGAGCAGTTGGGCTGGACACTGCTGACGGGCCCAGTCTCCCTTCCTTTGCTGTTCTCTGGCGCCACCCTTCTTTAGCGGTTCCAGCCCTCTAAGAACCAGCCTGAGGGGTAAGCTGAATCAATACACTGGCCTGGGAATCAGGTTTGGGAAAAAGGCAGTATCAAACTTCCTTCCTCCAACTGGCCAGGAAGAAAATAGCTTCCCCTTCCGTGAGTCATGCTTCAGAAATTTGGTGTTGGTGAAGGTTGTCACTCGTGCCTGTTCTTTAGATGTGCCTGGACTGTTACTCCCAGAAATGCTGTCACTTTAGTGGTTTCCCTAGCAGAAGGGAACTGGGGCAGAAGGATGTGGGTCCTGGTTTGGGAGGAATTTTATTCTTAAGAAATCTCTCTTCATCACCCACTGTGCCTGAAAGTGTTGGGGACATCAATTCAGGGTGAGCTGATGGGACTAGGGCTTCATCCAAGTGAGAGGAAAGAGAAAACACCTGGAGTAGTTTGCTGGAGAGGGGCAGTATAGTACCATCTTACAGTCCCCCACCCGCACCCCAACTACTTGGTTCAGAGCCAGTCTAGGCATGCAGGTGGGATAATGGACTAGTGCACCTGACCTGAAGGAGTTATGGAGTGTGGGGCAGGGTTAGGACTCAGCTTCTTGTGCTGCTTCTCAGTAGCGCAGAGCTTGACTAGTGGGCTGGCACCTGGCTGGGCAGGCAGCCACTTGCCCTTGCTCTCCCTCATTGTTTCTGCCCTGCTGGGAAGGGGGAAGGAAGAGTTGCTGAGCAGAGGATGAATTAGAAGACTTACCCCTCCCCCCATTTCTAGGTAGTGGGTTCAGTAGTGATAGAGATGGCCCAGAGCCTTAAGATTGAGCACTGCACTCCTTCAGGAGCCTTGTCTTTCCAGGGTCTATGTGGGAGAATCAGCCCTGGCATCTCCTCTCACAATGTAACCTTGTCATGGTTGGTCTTGTCCATTAGGCAACCGCTGGGGGAGCCAGGTGCATTCAGGGTTCTTGAGAAGGATTGCAGGGAGGCCATGGAGAAGGGGAATCTACCCAGGGACGGAAGGCAGTTGTCTTGGTATACCCCTTGCCTCGTAGCCAATCTTTTTTCTTTGGAGAGTTACCAGTGATCCAAGTCCTCGTCGTCAGCCTTCTGTGTCTCACCAGGTCCCTTCTCAGTACTGTATTGGCTCCGTGCATCACGAGTGAATGTGTGAGTGTATGTGGGTGTGAGTGTGGGTGTGTGTGTACCAATAAATGACCTGGTTTTAAGACAATGTACAAATGGCCTCTGGTCTTCTTTTGAAAGTGTGAGCTCACCGTCGTGTCCAGCTTCTTTGATAGCCCTCAGGGCTGCTATACTCTGAGAAGGAAGCATCACAGTTGTGAAAATCTGTTTATTTCTACCTCCACAGGATTTTGGAGGAGGTTAATGTTTTGCTGCCTTGTGCCAAGGACATAGAGGGCCAGATGAAGGGCCAGGAGCCCACCGCCAGGCTCCACTGATTTTATCTCTGCTCACCTGCCAGGCCTACTCTGTTTGTCCCCTTCACTCTGCACTGGAGTTGCTGCTGCTTCTCTGCACGTCCTTCCTCCACTCCTCTTTGAGCAGCTCCCATCACCTCTGGATCAGGCCCAGCTCCTCCTCCAGGTGGCTCATGATTTGGCTCCTTGGCCTCTCCATTTTCTGTCAGTTTGAGTCTAATGTGGAAATGTTTAGTCCCCCTGCCCCCTCATCAGAAGATACTTAGACTTCTGACTTTGTACCTTCAGGCCTTTGAGATCTACGTTAAGCCTCCCCTAGGAGGCAGTGCCTGCCTCTCCAGCAGAATTAGGAAGCCAGCAGCCCTTAGGTCCATGAATGCTCTGCACATTCAGATGTTAGGCACTCTTTGTCTCCCATGCCAGGCTGCAAGGCTGCTCCATAGGTCAGGATAATGGGCCTCTGTGTCCCATTAATTCATTCACACACTTGAGTGAATGAATGAGCGATCTTATCTCAAGAAAGTTGTCAGCAGAGCGAATATGAATAGAAGCTGAAAATTACTGCCTATTGTATGTGTCAGACACTGTGCTAAGCATTGTCTTAGTCTGTTATCATTACTATAACAAAATACCTTAGGTGATTTATAATCAACAGAAATGTATTCTCATAGTTCTGAAGAATGAGACATCCAAGGCCAGGGACCCAGCAGACAGATCTGGTGTCTGGTGGGGGTCCAATCCTTAGAGATGGCACTTTCTTGAGGGTTCTTACATACTCCTTTTATAAGGACTTTCATTTCTGAGAGTGGGGCCTGATGAGCTTATTGCCTCCTAATTCAACTCTGTTAATACTACTGAATTGTAACGTGAGTATTGGAGAGACCAAATGTGTAATCATAGCACTTACTAAGTGGATTAATTTATTTGACTGTCACAGCACTGTGATATAACACCATCTCCATCTTATAGATGAGACCATGTAGGCCTAGCTAAGATCTTACAGCCAGAAAGAGATGCGAATCCCCTGACTTCAGTGCTTTGTCCTTAACTGTGGTTTCAATGTTAAAGTATTGCTCCAGGTGAGAAGTGGTGGCAGTGCCTGTAATGCTAGCAGTCTGGAGGCTGAGGCAGAAGAATTAAGAGTTTGAGATACATGGTGAGATAAATACTCCAGTATCAGGAGTGCTTGACCATGTGACTTGATTCTCTTTTAAGGGAACTTGTGACTTCTCCAGCTGCCCTAGCTGTTTGTTTTTCCCAGCTTCTGTGAATTGGCATGGGGCCCTGTGTGTGGTGGTGAACGCCCATCAACACAGAAAAATGCTCTGTGCATCCTTGTGTCTCTGTCTGTGGTTAGCAATGCCCCAAACATTGATGGAGAAGGCCCAGATGACAGACAAGAGAGTGCCAGGGAAGGCATCCTAGACAGAATCGAGGAGGAGCAATCAGAGGCAAGGGAAGGCACTGGCCTAGTGCCTACAAGCTTCAAGGGGTCCCCTTCATCTGCTCCTGGATGAAAGGGAGAATTGATGTATCTTGGTGGACAGATCTGAAGGGATGTAGAAGGAACAGGCTTTGCAGAAAGGAGAACTTAGTGTTGGACCGGCTGAGCTTGAAGTGAGACCCCCCCAACGTTGTGTTTCTCTCAGCATTTGTAGAAAGCCGCAAAAAAATCTGGAATTCTGTCCCAGAAGCCCAGCAAAAGGAATTTGTTCCAGACAGTGAGTGGCAGCAAGTCTGGGTCTGGGGATCAGGGGTTCCCTGTGGCTGAGGGAAGGCAGGGATGAGGCATAGCCAAAGTGGTGCCATGTGGGTTTCCAAGGAGGTCATAGGCTGGTCTTCCTTTCCCAAGGTCAGCCTGGAACCTCCCTGTCTCATTTGGTGTTCTAACTCCTGCAGGCTTCTGCTCCTCAATTTGAGCCAAGAGGCAAAGAAGCCAAAGAAGTGTGAGGGGCATGGTATGCCGCGATGATGTCTGCCGGTAAAACAGGTTGAGTAGAGGAGCCTCCTCTCCTCTTTCCCTCCATTATCTTTCACCTTTGAACTTCTCTCCAGTTGGCCCAGCCACCTGCTACATCTGGAACACTTAGGTTTTTCAGCCTGCCAGATTAATTATCTGGAGAAATTAAATACCCATGAGTTTATTGGAGTATACAAATAGTACTTTAAACACTCAGCAGTTCATACTAATTATCTAAACTATTTCTACACTAACAACTGGTGTGCCAATTTCAGGTAATTCCTATCTTTTCATTCCAGCGGATTCCCTAAAGTCCATAATTAGGCAACATTTGATTAACCCAGTTTGATTTATTCTAAATGCTTCCACCGAGGAAGGAGTTTAAGCTAATTTCCCTGAAGGACTCCACCTCACTGTTCATTAGCCAGAATCCTATCTGTAATTCTATTGTGAAAGTTAAGGATTTGTTAATTAAGGAAGTCCCTGTGCTTTGATGACAATTATTTATTCTGTAAAAATAATGACTGAATCTGGGCTCCTGTGTGGCAGAGATTGCCATTCATTCCTGGATGGTCACAGCACCATATGTCAAAGTTAAAGACTTAGGGTATGATAAAGTAAGTAGGTGACAATAACACCTGACAATGTCAGGGATCTCCTGCTCTAGTAGCCATTCCTAAAGTGCGGTGTGTGTGTGTGTGTGTGTATGTGTATGTGTATGTGTGTGTGTGTGTGCATGTATGCACACAGGCACGTGTGTATATGCACACTGGGTCTTGAACTCAGGGACTTGCACTCTTACATAGCATATTTCACCCAAGGCCGGCTCTCTACCACTTGAGCCATACCTCCACTTCTGGTTTCTTGCTGGTTAATTGGAGATAAGTCTTGGATTTGTCTGCTCAAGCTGGTTTGAGCCAGGATCCTCAGATTTTAGCCTCCTGAGTAGAAAGGATTGGATTATAGGCGTGAGCCACCAGGGCCACCACCACTAAAACTGCCATTTGTTTCAGAGGATGAATATCAACCTGAAGGTCCAGTTGACTATGGGCTTTAAAACTATATCCGGTGATTCCGGAGCCTATCAGATCCTTGGTATTGATGAAGGCCCTCCTTGGCCAGCCCTAGATGCCAGTAAGAAGGTCAAGTGATAAGCAAGTCCCAGCTGAAGGCAGTAGAGTGGTGTCAACCCTAGAAGCTTGAGCAGTACTGGGGGTAGAGGAAATGAATCTGAGAGGAGAAGATTCTCCCCACCCCTGGCTGTGCACTACAGTGTTTTGGTGGGTAGTGAGTAAACATAGACTATAGACAAGTCATGGCAGCCAGCCTTGTCTTGCTTACTCTCAGTGGATCAAGACTAAGAGTTATGGAAATGACTTAGATTAGTCTCTCCAGCCCCTCCAAGAAGGAAAGACTATAAATTCAGTGACACAAACTCAAAAAGAAAATCTCCCAGACCAGGACAGATTAGACCAGCTGATGATTAATTACTCAAGAGAAGCAGGTCTGGACTTGGGGCCCTGTCTTCTACACACTCATATCCTCTGTACACACCCTATCTTCAGCATTCTCAGACTCTGTTGAAGCTTTCTTTTGATCTCTTCCTTAGGTAGAATTTGTGGACCAACTAGGGGCAGGATGTTAGCTTCTTCTTTAGGAACCAGGCCAGGGGGGCCTGGGCTTAGCCCAGCTAAGCCTAGAGTAAATACAGAATGGCCTGCCATTACTGGTGTGTGAAACTGAGTCAGGTCAGTTACCAAGGGCCCCAGAGAACTGAGTGGGAGCTAGGATGTGCTGTGCTCTGAACCCTCGCTCTTCTATAGTGATCCTGAAATTTATAATTTGCAACCAAACAAACTTATTCCCAAGCTGTTGGAGTTAACGTTTTTATTGGGCGTTTGTGGCCCATTCCAGTTCTAGTTCCCATTAACTCCCCCAATGAATCCATATGTAATCTCTATCCAAAATCTCTGTTCTTGACTTTCCACCCACCTTCTCCCCTTAGGAAGCCAGTTTTTGAAAAATAGCATCTTAAATGAGGAGAACCCCAGGTTCTCTTTTGATTGTTCTTTGGGAACCTCTGGCCACTCCCTTAGCACAATCTCCTGTGAGCCTTGGGCAGGGATGGCAGCCCCCTCTGCTTGGAGGGAGGGGCTAAGGGTAGTGAGGGGACATGCCATTAGCCTACAAATAAATGGTCTGATACTACTTGCTCTAATATAATCACCTCCCACTTCCCTATGAGGAACCAATGGAGTTACAGGGACTTGAGAGCCCTGCCTATCCAGCTCTGCCGGCCCTCCCAATAGCCTGGGCACATATACGTGCTTAATTAACTGGAGGCAATGGGCTGGCTATTGGCTATAAGGTGGAATGCAGCAGACTGTGAGCAGTATCTAGGATTTCAAGTGCAGAAACACCCCCAGGGCTTTCTGTGGGCTACAAGGTTTCTGTATTAACTGATTGTCACCCAGGCTTTGAATCAGACCCACCTTGTCCCCAGATGGCAGGAAAAGGAGCAGGGCTCCTCAGTGCTTAGTGGGCATCATAGGTTGGTGCTACAGGAAGTCTTTGGTGCTTTTGGAGCCCTGCCCAAGTCAACCCTGGGTGTCCTTGGAAACGCCACCTCTGGAGTGAGCCAGGACCCCTGAAGGGCTGGGGTAGATACCATTCACGCTCCTCCCTCTATATCACCACAGACAAGGACAAACTTGCAACCAGTCTTTATTTGTTTTTTTAAAAAAAGGAAATCCAAATAAGTTAGCAAAAAAAAAAAGGTACAAAACAATGGCAAAACCACACAATGCTTAGTTAACAAAAGAAATCACCCCCAAGAGCTCCTGCCTCCTTCCCTGCCTGTCCCCTCAACTCATCACAGGAGACCTTGGTCAGATGGCAGCTTTACAAACGACACACAAAACAAAACAAAAACATAAAGCCACTGGAAGTTTCCCAATATTCACTGCAAAAACTTTCCCTCCCCCGCCCCCCCCTACCCCAGAGACAGGAACAGAGAGTTGTTCTCCTTTCTCATTCAGCTCAGGGCAGGCCCAGCCCAGCCACTGGCATCAGGAAGTGACCAGAACAGGAGATGTGCACATAGTCCAGGTCAGAACACTGTCTTTGTCTCTCAAGAGATTTCATTTTGGGGGTTGGAATTGAAGACTACATTATGAGAAAAAGGAAGCTCCTGAGTTTGCCCTCCCCTGAGCCGGGGGCATCCACAAGGGGGCGCTCTGGTCCTTTGCTTTGTCTCCTTGGAAAGGGGATGCCCTCTGCTCTAAGAAGTCACCTCAACGAAGGCATCCATCCTCTCAATGGGCCTTGCATGAACCCTAAGTCAGTGGGGGAGGGGATAGTCTGGTCTATGGCAGCCTGGAGCTATCTTCCTGGCAGCGACAGCCCGGCTTAGGAGGCCCCTACTGCAGAAGTGGTGGCATTTGCCACCACCGTGGGGGCTCCCACGGACACCCAACCTGTGGCCAACTTCAGTTGGGCATGGTTTCATCTGGAAAGGCCACAGACACATCCTCCACTGTGATGCTGTCCACGATGGAGGTGAGGGAGTGCAGGTTGTGGGCATCTGTGGGGTCAGCCGCCAGCAGGTGGTCTGTAAGGAGGTCAGAAATGTGTCACCTTTGGGGGACTCAGATTGGATGACCCTTGGGTGACACAGGTTTTCCAGGACTGATGGAGGAGCAAAGCTTCAGAGTTCAGGATTCCCTAGCTCCTGACTTTCTCCATGTTGTGAGTCCATATATGCATGCATGTGTGTGTGTGTGTGTGCGTGCGCACGTACACACACCTATATGCCCTCATATGTGTGGAGTCAGGATAGCAGATCTCAGAGGGACTGGAGCTGCCTTTTCTGGACCTAACTTTTCAGTGCCAACTCAGTAATTCCCAGAGACGGTCCAGGGCAGGCCAGTCTCTGGTCACTGAGGAGGTCAGCAGCAGCTAGGAAGCAACAGGAGGCCCCCACCTCTTAGCCTGCCAAGGCTGCAGGGAGGCACACAGCTTCCCAGATCACCCTTTGGGGTCCTAGGGTCACTAGGTCCCTGGAGAAATACAGGAAGAGGACCAGAGCAGGGAATAAAGTGAGAAGAGAGGAGTCCTCCCCCACCCCCACCCCAGAGCCTGTTATCAGGATCAGGCTTCACTTACCAGCAGGGTTAGGGCCAAACTCCAGGGCACTGCCCCACTCTGGACTGCAGGAGGCGCTGTGGGAGCTGCACTCACTGGGCACCTGCAGGAAGGGGCCAAGGCCCAAGGTCAGGGCACAGCCATCCTGGACCGTACCTCTGCCTGGCACCAGTAGGCTGAACTCAAGTGGGGCTGGAAGGTGGGCCACAAGCTGGGGACATCAGCCGAGGACCCCCTCTCCCATGTCAGAATGTTCACCCTCTGCTTCCAGGTCCTTTCTGGCTTCCAGGATGATCATTCTCTGGTCCCAAGATACCTGCTTAAAGGGGTATCTGTGGCTGCTCAAGACACCCAGGACAGGGTTGGGTCTGGGCCTCTTGGCATACTTGGCCTGGCTGGTCAGCCTGTGACTCAAGCACTGGAATGTGCTCCCTTGCGCAGGCTCAGTAGGAGCTTGCTCAGGGCCCTGTCTGTAGTTCTGCACCAGCCTGCCCCACCCCTCAGCACCTCTTGCCCATCGCCTTTGTCTGATCGGGAAGCGCCAGGGGGCACAGGAGGTCAGCTGGACAGCTGAACTCTGGAAGGGGTCCCTGCCTGGCACCTGCTGCAGCCATCTGATCAACCCTGTGTGGTGTCCCGGAGGCTGTCGGGGTGCCCCCCCCCGGCCCTCCTTCTGGGGCAGGTGCCTGGCCACTTACCGCAGGCTGGGGCCCGCCCCCGCCCCGGTAGCGGAGGTCTCGCTCCTCCTGGTTGAGGGAGCTGAGCAGGGCCTGCAGGCGCTCGATGTACTGGATGGCGCTGCGCAGGATCTCCACCTTGGGCAGCCGCTGGTTGGGGTTGAGCAAGGTACTCCTCTTCAGGGCCTCGAAGGCCTCGTTCACCTTCTTGAGCCTGCGCTTCTCCCTCAGAGTGGCTGCCCGCCGCCGATCCACAGACACCGACTTCCTCTTACACACCTTGCACGCCCACGGCAAGCACTGGCCGGGACAGCGTTCCGGGGTCCCCAGCCCCTTGTCTTCCAGGGGCCCTCGGGCCTCTGGGCTCAGACTGAGTTCGGTCTGCTCATAGCCCGGTGGCTCGAAGCCCTGGAGATGGACAGGCAGGTAGTTCTCCCCATCATAGAAGCGGGGCTCCTGGTAGAAGAAGGGGGACGTCTCATACAGCTCCATGGGGTCGGAAAAGACTTGTTCCTGCCACTGGCCCCCAGGCTCCTGCAGCCCCTCACGCCAACTGCTGGGTGCCATTTAAACCCTCCTGACTGGCATGGAACCAGAGATAAATATAGCCAACGCCACAGAAACCTGAGCCCTCCTCTAAGCTGTTGCTGCACATCAAGACGTTTACAGTGGCTTAGATGTGATTCCCCTTCTCTCTCCCCAGGCCCCCACCCACCCAGCCCGCCTGCCCCTGACTGGGGTGGCTTCTGTGCACGGGTCGGGAGGCCGTCGGCTGTAATTTGATTAGTTTTCATTTCTCCGCAGCCCCAGTGGGACAGGGGAGGTGGGGGCGAACACATCCCCCTCTCATCTGCTCCTTTCAATTACTCCTCCCCAGCCGCCTGCCTGTCCACTCTGCTCTCTCTCTCCAGGCCAAAGTAGCCTGGTGGGTGAAGGGCAAGAGGAACGGGGAAGAGGTGGGCTTAGGCTGGATGGGGGCCTTCAGAGCCAATCCATCTGTCTTGCTGCTTCCAACCACCCTTGCTGGGCTATAACAGTCCAGCAAAAGTTAAAGACTACCCACCCCAAAGACGGGTCTACTTCCATCTGGGCATGTACGGGTCCCTAGTGCCCAGGCACAAGAAAAATTGAAGCTCACAGGGTTCAACTTCTTGTTTTCTAATGCACCTTTGACCTCCTATGTTCTCTTAGATCTCATATGATGGGTGGTAAATTGACCAAGAGAATTTAGGGTTTTTTAATAGGAGGTTTTCTCCTTAATGAGGTCAGAGCAAGGATTAAAATTCACAGCCCATGTATCACCACTCTCCCTAACTTCAAAGGCAAGGTTAAGAGTCTTTTTCCTTCTGTCACTGCCATTTATCTGTCCGTCCATGTCACCTCCTCAATTCTTATTTCCTCCTTGCTTCAGTACCAGAATCTTCCTGAATCCTTAAGGTGGATGGAGTAGCAAAGGAGAGGGGAGAGACTTCATACTCCCTTCCTCTGGACCACCTTGGCTGGGTCCTCCTACTGCTTCCTGTCCATGCCGTCAGCCTTATAAGCATCCTTCGGTTCTCAGATGTGAAATGGAAGAGGAACTATGTCATCTCTGAGCGTCGAGGTAGATGGTCACCTCTCATTGCTGAGAGAGCTGTTCCCTGATGTAGTGCCAGGGCTCACATGCCAGTGTGAACCAAGCTCAGGCTTAGGCCTAGTGGTCACAGGGACACCCCTCTACCTCCCTGTGGTAGATATCATAAGGAACAACTTGTCCCGCTCAACCTTTGATACCTGACCCCTAGGTCACCATTGTCCGGCCTCTGCTGTTGTCACAAGATGGCCCCTTTTACCCACGTGTGGCTACTTGAGTCCTGGGTCTTGGGCTGCAGTCTTTCACCCTTGAGTTCCAGGTTTTTCCTCTAGAACCTAGTAGACTAAGTCTGGTCCATCGTTCTATCCCTATCCCATGGTAGATGCGACTGATGAGTTATAATCATTGGCAAAGACAATAAGAGGAAGCAGAATCCTGTGGGGGACCGAGGGAGGACTGGCTTCTGAGAAGAAGTGAGGTCTCCCTAGAATTTGAAGGACTGGCTTGCTTTCTTCGCTTTCGCCATGGGAAGAGACAGGAAAATGTTGGTGTCCTTTTGAAGCAGGAAATGGGTGAGGAGAGGACATAGCCAGTCGGGTCTTGAACCTCAATCCCAACGTTCTTGGCCTCTCAAGAAGCTAGGATTATAGCCATGGGCTATGGACACCTGGTTTAAGTTGAGAGAAAATACAGCACAGGTATTATGGGTATACCAACCAGCTGAGCTGAAGAAGGATCTGTTTCCAACAGCCAACCTCAAACAAAACCCAGAACAACCACCTTGCCCCCGTTTACACTCCAGTCCCACAAGCCCTGAGAAAATGAGTGATGAGGCCTGTAATCCTAGCTTCTCAGGAGGCTCAGATCTGAGGACTGAGTTTGAAGCAAGCCTGTGCAAGTAAGTCAGTCATATACTTCTCTCCAATAAACTCCCTCTCCCCACCAAAAAAAATAAAAAAGGCCAGAAGCAGAGCTGTCTGTGTCTCAGTGGTAGAGCACTAGCCTTAAGCAAAAAAAAAAAACAAAAACTCAGTGCCCAGGCCCTGAGTTCAAGTCCCAGGGCTGGCCAAAAATAAAAATAAAAAAGAATGATTTCAAAGCTCCATGGAAACCCAGAAAAGTTGTCTATTGTGCTTTTGGAATCCAATCTGACTTTCTTCTAAACCATCTGTTCCTTCCTCTCAAATGGAAGCCGAGTAGACTTGTTCTGGGATGGTGCTTTCTGTCTAGTAGCCTGGATGCTGAGCTCTGATGCTTGGTACAGGTCAAAGCGGAGCTAGATTAAAGCTGCCAACACTTGCAAACAAGTGTTTTGACAAAAGGGTGTTTGAGGAGTTTATAGAAAGACAAAACCACTGAAGGCTGGGGCCTCTGTGGAGGGCCTGGGCAGGAGCTTGCTGGGCCATCTTAGAGAACGGTTAGGATGCGGACAAGAGGAAAGCAGGGAACTGAGCAGTGGGTCAGGCAGTGTCTATGCGGCTCAGGTCAAAGGGTGATTGCAGATGAAGCTGCAAAGATGGAGGAGGCTTGCCTGGCTTGGACGGCTTGGAAAGGAAGCCAGTGAGGCCACAGACCACCATGACTGGAATCCTGCGGTGAGATGATGAGGGTCTGGTTGAACAACCCTCAGAGGCTTAAAACTGGGAAATAGGCATGTTTCAAGCTGGCCAAGGGTGGTGGTGGTGGTGGTGGTGGTGGTGTGTGTGTGTGTATGTGTGTGGGGGGGTGTGTGTCTGCATGTGTGTCCCTGAAAGAATGGCAGTTGTATTAGATGAGAGGGCACCTGGCACACAGAAACACCACTAAACATGGAGGCCCATGTTTCTCCTCCACTCCTGGGCCCTCACCTGCTCTCAGCCCCGTGGTCTACCCCTAGGCTTCCTTCAGTGCTTCTCGGAGGCCGCAGGAGCAGGGATGGATGGGACACCTGTCTGCCTCTCCAGGTGCAGATACTCGTTCTTTCCATCTGATGTTAATGGGATGTGGTCTCTGCTGTCAACCTGTTCACAGGTGAGCGAAGGTCATGAGAGCAGCCACACACCAAGGCAGGAAGGGTGAGGTGACAAAAGAGAGTTCTAGAAAAGGTACCATATTGGCATTTAATCTAGAGAATAAATTGATTTGCTCGTGACTTCCTCTGCTCAACACCAATTTCCTGACGACAGACGCTGTGTCCATCTCCGAGAGGGGACCAGACTTGGGAGTGACAGCAGTAACTGGACTCAGCTCCTGTCTGCAGGCAACTGTGCTGATGAGTGTGGCTGTGTGTCTGTGACCTTAGACCTAACATCTGCGTATGCCTCTGACCTTACATCACAGCGGGGCTGGGAGGTTAAGGGTGATTTGTCTGTCTAGGTCTCTGTGAAGCTTGTCTGTAGGTATGTCTGTGTATGCCTGAGCGAGGTGAACTGAGGTCCTTGTCAGGGCTTGCTGTGGGGATGGTCCCAGGACACTGACCTCTCAAGTCCTGATAGGGAGAGACTGGCCCTAAATACTTTTGTTCTTCTTCAGCCAAGTTGTGAAGAAGCCATGTCTAGGCCTTGCTCTCTCTCTCCTGAACAGCTCTCCGGCCCAGCCAGCAGGCTGCCCTCTGATGGATGGGAACATATTGGTGCCCAGCACAGAGCAGCCTTTGTGCTCAGCCACCAGTGTCGATCCATCAGCTCTAACCTGACAGCAGGGCGTCAGGCCTTAATCCTCACCCCTGCTGCGTGGGCACACAGGGCCCCTTTCCCCAACTGTAGCCTCCTCTTCAGGAGAGCGCCTCTCTCCAGAGGAAGCCCTGGTCCCCCACGGGGGGCTCCATTGCCAGGCTCTTGGCCCTCCTACCCCAAAGATCTCAACTTGGTTCTGTCCATTTACATGCTAAGCTGTTCTCATTTGCATGAGAGTGTTGGATTTCAGAAATCCCCTTCACCTGCTCCTGCTCCTTCCTTCCCCTTCGGCTGCCCATCCAGCCACGTCTGGCCTCCAGCCTCGCCTAGTTGGTCCCTGCCGGCTTCACGGGTGGGCTGACTCAGACTGCCAGGTCGCTTGGTTGAAATCAAAGCAAGCTGTGCCTTCTGAAGTCTAGGTGCTGGAGAACAGAGGAACAATAGGGTCTAGACAGTGACGGCCTCTAGCTTCCATAAATAGTTCCACTTTTTGGTTCCTGGGCTATGTCTTTGAGTATCATTGATGAAGATGACTCAGGAGTTGGATGTCAGGAATGTGCGTGCATTTCAGTAGGATATAGGTTCATCTATCTAGCATGCAAATCAGCATTGACTGATTATTTGGGAGGCAGTGGCTTCTTGGCAGAGTGAGCAGATTACAGCATCTCAAATGGTTCAGAGCTTCAGGAGGTCTCAGATCAGCTCATCCAAAACCCCTCTAGGCAGTGGGAAACAGAGGCCCAGGGAAGGATGCCCAGGCTTAGTATCAGAGTATGAAGGCTGTCTGCACCTAGACCACCTGAGCTTAGATCCTAGCAGCTGAATCCATGTTCCCCCTCCCTTCCCTGAAGTTGCAGGTGAGAAGGATGTATGTAGCCTGTGGGAACGTGCTTTCCAGCTGGCTATGAATGACACCACAGGCAGATGGACAGTGAGAATTCAGTGTTCAGATGGCAAGTTCAGGGAAAGTGTGATGGAGAGAGGAAAATGGGATACAGGACAGCAGTGAGAGGAGACGCCAGGGGCTTGGGACAGGAGATGGGGTTTGGAGGTGAAGGATCAGAGTTGAGAGATTGGTCCCTACTGGTCCCCAGCCTCTGGCTGCACCATTCCCATTGAGGACTGAGCATTGGAGAACCATTGGGAAATCCCACCCCTACCTGGAATCTGGAGTTCTGAGCTGGGATCATCCCTCAGGAATCTGTGGCTTCAGGGTGGGGGAAGGTGGAGACCTGGAGGCAAAAAGAGGTTGAGTCTGAGGAGAG